TCTGTGAAGACAATGGTATTGTCCTCAACTTCTCACTCTCCCATGCAAGAAAATACATTTGTGTCCACTGTTCAGACCTGCCACCCTCTCACCTTGCCAAGTGTGGGCACAGAGCACTGAGATGCCCATTGTTCTTGCCCCTCCCCCTCTTCTAATACCAATAACCACGGGCCTTGCTTCGAATCTCAATATATTGCTAACCTTTGGGGTAGACTGTAGACCCAAACATGCAAGCAAACAAGCGCACACACGTGCACACACACACACACACACACACACACACACACACACACGCAGTTGTTTGCTGTCCTCTGGGAGACAGGCAAAGGGTTTATCTTCACTAAGTAGCTCAACACTTGCATTTGTTGCTTTTTCGCAGAAAATGTTTGTAACCCCTTCAGCTCATTGTTTTATTTGGTTGATCTGAAACTAAATAAGTGCCTCTAATAGATCATAGATTCTGATTTATTATCTACAATACATACACTACAGTTCAAAAGTTTGGGGTCACTTAGATATGTCCTTGTTTTCGAAAGAAAAGCAATTTTCTTTTGTCCATTAAAATAACATCAAATTGATCAGAAATACAGTGTAGACGGCTGATTTGTTGTAAATGGCTATTTATAGCTGGAAACGGCTGATTTTTTTTAATGGAATATCTACGTAGGCGTACGGGGGCCCATTATCAGCAACCATCGGTCCTGTGTTCCAATGGCACGTTGTGTTTGCTAATCCAAGTTTATCATTTTAAAAGGCTAATTGATCATTAGAAAACCCTTTTGCAATTATGTTAGCACAGCTGAAAACTGTTGTGCTGATTTAAAGAAGCAATAAAACTGGCCTTTTTGAGACTAGTTGAGTATCTGGAGCATCAGCAATTGTGGGTTTGATTACAGGCTCAAAATGGCCAGAAACAAAGATCTTTCTTCTGAAACTCGTCAGTCTATTCTTGTTCTGAGAAATGAAGGCTATTCCATGCGAGAAATTGCCAAGAAACTGAAGCTCTCGTACAATGCTGTGTACTACTCCCTTCACAGAACAGCGCAAACTGGCCTCTAACCAGAATAGAAAGAGGAGTGGGAGGCCCCGGTGCATAACTGAGCAAGAGGACAAATACATTAGTGTCTAGTTTGAGAAACAGTCGCCTCACAGTTCCTCAACTGGCAGCTTCATTAAATAGTACCCGCATAATACCAGTCTCAACTTCAACAGTGAAGAGGCGACTACGGGATGCTGACCTTCTAGGCAGAGTTGCAAAGAAAAAGCCATCTCAGACTGGCCAATCAAAATAAAAGATTAAGATGGGCAAAATAACAGAGGAAGATTGGAAAAAAGTGTTATGGACAAACAAATGGAAGTTTGAGGTGTTCGGCTCACAAAGAAGAGCATTTGTGAGACTCAGACCAAATGAAAAGATGCTGGAGGAGTGCTTGATGCCATCTGTCAAGCATGGTGGAGGCAATGTGATGGTCTGGGGGTGCTTTGGTGGTCGTAATGTGGGAGATTTGGACAGGATAAAAGGGATCTTGAAGAAGGAAGGCTATCACTCCATTTTGCAACACCATGCCATACCCTGTGGACTGCGCTTGATTGGAGCCAATTTCCTCCAACAACAGGACAATGACCCAAAGCACAGCTCCAAACTATGCAATAACTATTTAGGGAAGAAGCAGTCAGCTGGTATTCTGTCTATAATGGAGTGGCCAGCACAGTCAACTGATCTCAACCCTATTGAGCAGTTGTGGGAGCAGCTTGACCGTATTACATTTACATTACATTTATATTTACATCATTTAGCAGACGCTCTTATCCAGAGCGACCTACAGTTAGTGAGTGCATACATTATTTATTTTTATACTGGCCCCCCGTGGGAATCGAACCCACAACCCTGGCGTTGCAAATGCCATGCTCTACCAACTGAGCTACATCCCTGCCGGCCATTCCCTCCCCTATCCTGGACGACGCCAATACGTACCGTATGGTACGTAAGAAGTGCCCATCAAGCCAATCCAATTTATGGGAGGTGCTTCAGGAAGCATGGGGTGAAATCTCTTCAGATTACCTAAACAAATTGACAACTAGAATGCCAAAGGTCTGCAAGGCTGTAATTGCTGCAAATGGAGGATTCTTTGATGAAAGCAAAGTTTGAAAGACACAATTATTATTTCAATTAAAAATCATTATTTCTAACCTTGTCAATGACTACATTTCCTATTCAGTTTGCTATATTTCCTATTCATACTCATTTCATGTACAGTGGGGGAAAAAAAGTATTTAGTCAGCCACCAATTGTGCAAGTTCTCCCACTTAAAAAGATGAGAGAGGCCTGTAATTTTCATCATAGGTACACGTCAACTATGACAGACAAAATGAGAAAAAAAAATCCAGAAAATCACATTGTAGGATTTTTTATGAATTTATTTGCAAATTATGGTGGAAAATAAGTATTTGGTCAATAACAAAAGTTTCTCAATACTTTGTTATATACCCTTTGTTGGCAATGACACAGGTCAAACGTTTTCTGTAAGTCTTCACAAGGTTTTCACACACTGTTGCTGGTATTTTGGCCCATTCCTCCATGCAGATCTCCTCTAGAGCAGTGATGTTTTGGGGCTGTCGCTGGGCAACACGGACTTTCAACTCCCTCCAAAGATTTTCTATGGGGTTGAGATCTGGAGACTGGCTAGGCCACTCCAGGACCTTGAAATGCTTCTTACGAAGCCACTCCTTCGTTGCCCGGGCGGTGTGTTTGGGATCATTGTCATGCTGAAAGACCCAGCCACGTTTCATCTTCAATGCCCTTGCTGATGGAAGGAGGTTTTCACTCAAAATCTCACGATACATGGCCCCATTCATTCTTTCCTTTACACGGATCAGTCGTCCTGGTCCCTTTGCAGAAAAACAGCCCCAAAGCATGATGTTTCCACCCCCATGCTTCACAGTAGGTATGGTGTTCTTTGGATGCAACTCAGCATTCTTTGTCCTCCAAACACGACGAGTTGAGTTTTTACCAAAAAGTTATATTTTGGTTTCATCTGACCATATGACATTCTCCCAATCCTCTTCTGGTATCATCCAAATGCACTCTAGCAAACTTCAGACGGGCCTGGACATGTACTGGTTTAAGCAGGGGGACACGTCTGGCACTGCAGGATTTGAGTCCCTGGCGGCGTAGTGTGTTACTGATGGTAGGCTTTGTTACTTTGGTCCCAGCTCTCTGCAGGTCATTCACTAGGTCCTCTCGTGTGGTTCTGGGATTTTTGCTCACCGTTCTTGTGATCATTTTGACCCCACGGGGTGAGATCTTGCGTGGAGCCCCAGATCGAGGGAGATTATCAGTGGTCTTGTATGTCTTCCATTTCCTAATAATTGCTCCCACAGTTGATTTCTTCAAACCAAGCTGCTTACCTATTGCAGATTCAGTCTTCCCAGCCTGGTGCAGGTCTACAATTTTGTTTCTGGTGTCCTTTGACAGCTCTTTGGTCTTGGCCATAGTGGAGTTTGGAGTGTGACTGTTTGAGGTTGTGGACAGGTGTCTTTTATACTGATAACAAGTTCAAACAGGTGCCATAAATACAGGTAACGAGTGGAGGATAGAGGAGCCTCTTAAAGAAGAAGTTACAGGTCTGTGAGAGCCAGAAATCTTGCTTGTTTGTAGGTGAACAAATACTTATTTTCCACCATAATTTGCAAATAAATTCATAAATAATCCTACAATGTGATTTTCTGGATTTTTTTTCTCAATTTGTCTGTCATAGTTGACGTGTACCTATGATGAAAATTACAGGCCTCTCTCATCTTTTTAAGTGGGAGAACTTGCACAATTGGTGGCTGACTAAATACTTTTTTTCCCCACTGTATGTTTTCATGGAAAACAAGGAAATTTCTATGTGACCCCAAACTTTTGAACGGTAGTGTACATGGCATGGAAGCACTGCATTTGACTTGGCGTAGCTGGTCGACGATTTAAACTAGTTCGGATCTGAAAAATGATCTCAAGTGCAATGGCAGGCTGGTTTCCTTCTGCATAAGGGAGAAGCAAAAGGTGTAATGCGAGCTCAACATAAAAAATTCATTGTAATATTTAAGCAAATTTAAAAAGCTTGATGTTTCGGCCACCATTGCCCATCATCATGAAATGCATTCAGTTCATATAGACTCTTAGGCTTAATCCTATTCCAAAGCACCTTGGCGATGTAACCATGGATGACCATCTTACTGAATCTAAGATGCAAACAAACCACCAGCATTCTTCCTCATCCCCAACAAAGACTAGTTGATTTGTCTGATTGCCTTTCTGATGTCCACTATCCCTTCCATTGAGGTGAACAAGATGTATGCTACAGCTAGCTGAATCAGCGTCCACTTTGTACCGGCAGCCCTCAGTTTTTTTCTCTCGCTCTCTCTCTCACTCTCTCTTCCTCTCCTTCCTCTCTGTCTGTCTGTCCTGTCTGTCCTGTCTGTCCGGTCGGCCTGTCCTGTCCTGTCTGTCTGTCCTGTCTGTCTGTCCTGTCTGTCCGCCCGCAGTGACGGGCAATGGCTCTTTGAGAGGAGTATACAGAGGTTTGAAGCTGAGGATGAACAGAGTGTATTGTCACTGTCTGGAACTCTGTAGGTTTGCGAAGTGGAATTCATATGTACTGATGACCTCATCCTGGTTCCAGATTGGGCTGATCAACACACAGTGCCTCTTTCAATATCCACACAATGAACTTTGATTTGACTAGAATACCACTTACAATGAGACAATGTCTTGGATGCATTCAACGTGATAGTTAGCTAGTGTGGATATTTTAAAAATGACCAGTGATTACCTGACTCTGTTCTGATGTATATCCACACTAGCATACTACCTAGTATGAAACAATATATTGGGAATATGTTCTATGTGATACGCTACTATAGACATTGGAACGTGGCTGACCTTAGATTGACCTTGTCTCTCCTCCTCTCTTCTCTCTCTACAGGTTGTGCTTCATAGTGGCTCTGGGCTACCTCAGTTTCTGCCAGATCACCCGGGTCTACGTGTTCGACTATGGCATGTACTCTGCAGACTTCACTGGGTAAGTTCTGGGTGTTGTGTTGACTATCAATGACATTAATTTGCATGTATCAATCAATCAGAGACAAGGGAGCTGAGAATTCCAGGAGACATGGCAGTCCTCGAGAATTGGAGTCGAATGCCCCTGCACTATGGGTGTCCAAATATTGTTAGTACCACATAACCAGCTGTGGAGTAAATCGAAAAGTCCAGCAACTACAATGCACTTAACTGTAATGTACATTGGGGTGCATTGATCAAGACTTCAGTTCCACCTCCTCCCTGGTTTCTGGTGAACCAGAAAACCAAACGAGTGCTAGGGCAGGGGTGGCCAGTTGCTAAGCAACCACAGTAGGAGACCCACAGCATCACAAGTGCAGACCTCCCTCTTTGCCTCTTTGATTTCTTCTTTCTTCCTCTCCATTCCTTCCTTCTCTCGTTCCTTCCTTTCTTCTCTTCCTTATTCATGAAATGCCGATGACTAAAAGCTTGGAAATGGCACAGAATATCATCAAGTCATACTTAATAGGCTCTTTGTAGTTTCTCCCTGGGTTAGACGGTCAGGGCACAATCTATTCCATGCAACATAGTCATCTGCTACCAGTTTTAACTTGCTACTAACTTTAACTTGGGGTGTTGTATCATTTTGAACGACTGATTTTCTGTGCAACCTACAGCTAATGAATACTCCCATTAATAAGGATAGTCTTTAAGATTTCACCCCACAGTTCTTCAGTCATATGGTATTACGTACGTGACACTGTGTCTTGTTGTCTTCAGGGCATATAGAAAAGCATACACAGACTTAATAGACATTGCTGATAGCAGCAAGAAGTAAGTCTTCCATTCCAAAGAGTGAGGATATGGTAATGCATGTTAGCTACAGTAGTGTTCCCAGTGCTTTCAGTGAATGATGGTCAATTAAGCAATAAGGTACATTAAGGTACCTCGTAATTAGAGCAGTAAAAATAAATGTTTTGTCATACCCGTGGTATACGGTCTGATATATCGCTGCTGTCAGCCATTCAGCATTCAGGGCTCGAACCACCCAGTGTGTAATTAATAATATATCCCTGATGGAGATGGGATATTAATATATTATGTAATGAGAAGAAGTTAGCTACAGTGTAGGTGAGCAGTTGCAGTCAGGGGTGATATAAGTTGATGTGATTGGTTACTCTCCTCTCCTGTGTTCTCTCCTATAGACCAATGATGGTCATCACTCAGAAGATAACCAGCCTTGCGTTTGAGATACATGACGGTGAGACACCTGTGTGTGTGTGTGTGTGTGTGTAAACAAGCGTGTGTATTTGTGTGCGTAATATGATTCTTATCGTCTGTGTGTGTCTCTATATCTAAGGAAGTCAGTCGTGGTGGTGATGGAACACGCCATTTGTCATTGATAAGGCTGTCATGACAGTTGCCTGGGAGATAAAAGTAGCAGCAGAGAGGGAGGCAATAACAGTGGTTTTATGAACTGCTCTCAGTTTCCTCTCTCCCAGCCAGCTAAAGCTACAACTAGCAGGGGAAGTCAGGAACTCTACCACGTTCTATGCATAGTGAGAGAGATCTGGCTAAAGCTACAACTAGCAGGGGAAGTCAGGAAGTCTATGCATAGTGAGAGAGATCTGTGTCCCCTTTTTAATAGAAAAATAAGCAAGACATCAGAGGGGATATGAACGTCAAATTGTATTATATTGGTTTCAGCTGCTAGGACTTTTCGTAGGCAAGTTTCCATTATGTGTTTGTTTTAGGCTGGGTTTCTGTATAAGCACTTTGAGACATCTGCTGATGTAAAAAGGGCTTTATAAATACATTTGATTGATTGATGCGTTTGGCACCTTTCAGACAATAAATAGTCCCCTTTATATCCCGTTCATCTGGTTTTATTCCTTTTGAATTGAAAAACAAACAACATATACCATTTCAACTAGTAGTTTTAATTTTCTAAATATCTCTTTGTCGACAGAATGCATAATACAGTAATTGATACTGTAGTGCTTGTATGGTGAGGAATTTTGACCGTGGACTCAGTTGAGGGGGCAGGGGTGGCATTGTAAACAAGTGTATGTAACGAGAAACGTTCTCTCCATCCCTCTCCAAGTTCCTGTCACGTTCGTTGTGTAATCGGACCAAGGTGCAGCGTGGTATGCATACATAGTCGTTTATTTTAATAAACACCGACAAAATAACAAAATCCAACAGAATGTGAAGTTCAAGAGGCTAAACATCAAACAAGCCAAACAGAAACAAGATCCCACAACTAAGGTAGGCAACATGGCTGCCTAAGTATGATCCCCAATCAGAGACAACGACCGACAGCTGCCTCTGATTGGGAACCACACCCGGCCAACATAGAAATATATAAATTAGATTTCACACCCTGACCAACCCAACTAGAGATCTCAATGTCAGGGCGTGACAGTTCCTCTGTAAGCCTTTTCCTTTCCTCTACACCAAATCATCCATAACGTCAGATACAGTATGCATAGTGAAGTGTGTGTGTGTCAAATCAAATCCACGTTTATTTGTCACATACACAGTTTACAGCAGGTATAAATGCTGCAGCGAAATGCTTACTTGCGAGCTCCCTCAGCAGTGCAGTACAACGTGTGTGTGTGTGTGGTGAATGGGGATTACATAGCTGTAGTCCTTTTGAAGTCTTGTAAAGTAGAACGCCAGTGTTAGAAGTCCAGAAGCAGTCAAAAGGCCACAGTAACTCATTAAGGGATTAGTTGGGATGTCACATTGAGAACTACATGTTCTTCTGTAGAGGGAAACATGTCATGTATTACGTGACCATAGTGTAACCACTTGGGTGCACTGGAAAAAGTGTACACCCAAGTAAAATGGAAAGATAAGCAACATTTAAAATGATCAATTAGACAGTGCCCATTTTTCCCCATTCATTTGGGATTGGCTGGATCTAGATATGGCTGGATCTACACAACATATGTCGTGTGATATGAGCTCATCTCCACATTTGACCTCTTGAGGTCTGAAAACGTCTGACAAAGTTCTATTTTGGAGGGAAATATCCCTTTAATGTTTGCTGGAATTCCCATGGCGCTCAACAGATGGTAAACAGTGTTTAAATATGCATGGTAATGAGGTTATGTAATAATCCCCTCCTTCTCCCTGTCCTCCGCTGACTCCAGGCTTCATTATCACTGGGTCTCTCACCCACGACCCCTGACCTTGCCTATCACCACGGGGATGGCCTTTGACCTCTGTTTTGACTGGCCATTAGGCCACACAGCCCTTGGGGCCACTGGGCAAGTGGCAGTTATTTCTGTCGAATATTATGTTTGTTCCTGTCTGCAGGCTTCATATGAAAAGGAATAGTTTATGGCTGCTTTTCTGTATCTTATGAAGCAGACAACATACTGGAAGCATAACCTTTTATGGTGTAACACGTCATTATGCAATGACATGTTGATTAAACTGTAACTGTCACTTCTAGAGCCTACTGACATGGAAGAGGATGGCTGCTGAGACTAGGCCTAGTTGTCCACTGCTGTGTAGGCCTGTGTGATAGTGTCCTAGTGTGTGCTCGTACAGGCCTTAACAGTTGCGTGTGTGTGTTTGTGGTGTGTGCAGCTGTGTGGTCGGCATGATTTACTTTGGTTGTGTGTTCGGTGCATTAGGCGAAATGGAGGTTGATAAGGAGTTTAATCTGGTGAATGGCAGTGTGGTAAACGGAGCATTACTCCCATCTCTTCCCTTGCCTTTCACTACTGCTAGTAGCTCTGACTGAAGTAGACTGAGATAGACTTAGGCCACAGCTGATTTAGGCCCTGTACATTCGGGAAAGACAACACTACCGCTAGCAGGTCTGACTGAGGTAGATGGCGTCAACTCAATATTAGGAAGGTGTCTTAATGTTTTGTACACTCAGTGTATATCCATACTACAAAAGTAGTGCATGCAGTGTATAGGGAGTAGGGTGCCATGTGGGACTAAGACAATGTTAAGCGTTGAGCCATAATGAGTCTGACTCTGCAGACCAGACCAGTGGGAATCACTGAGTATGTAATTCTAGGAGTGATTCTGATAACAGCCCGGCTTCACCCCTAAAACATCATCAGCCTGAGACTATAGTCTTTAGCTGGATGAATCACTAGCTTAGCTCTCGTTTTCCTGACCTAATATCTGGGATTTGATTTCATGTTCCGCTTCTTTAGTTGTTTTCCCTGCAACTCTATTGTATTACAGTTAACACCTGATAATCATATTTCTCGGCACATTTTCTTAGAATTCAAATGCACACACTTCTTACTTACTCTGGATATCTGCATGCATTCATGACAGTCCCAGGTCATTGCATAATGTATTAGGAGTTGAATGTATGTGACCAGACTCTGTGTTCCCATAGGCTTGGCGAGGAAGGAGGAGCAGCTGACCCCCAGTCAGAGATGCCTAGCTGTAAGGTATGTGACCCAGGTATGTTTTTATTCTCCCAGCTGGACTAGAGACAGTTCTACTGCCATACTAAAGGTATTACTGTGGGATGTGGTCACTGGGAAAACCTCCATAGCAGCCGCTAGCTAGTACTCATGTCACGTGTATAGTTTCTGTTGTTCAGTGACATTTTTTGGTTCTCTCGCTCTCAATCTATCTCCTCCCTCTCTCTCTTTCTTTCCCTCTCTCTTTCCCATTGTATCAAACATGTTTTTTTTTTTCTACTTCTACTCAGATTTGATAACAATATGGACACAAATAAAGATCATGTAGGTACCATGTAAAATGTAGCTCACAACAGGACATTTGCTTCTAAAGAGGACGAGAGGATGGAAATGATTGCCTCTGGAGGAATCTTATATTATTCAATTTTCTTCCCATTAAATTACTGAGAACAGAATGTTCCTGGTATCAACAACAATTAGAGTGATTCATTATGACTTAACTACCCCAGCACTCCTCTCACAGTCTCTGAAAGCCTTTGCATGGCAACTGCACGTACGTCCTGCGTCATGTGACCAGGGTAGTCAGAAAGAAGCTGGTAGTGACCAAGGAGTGGAGCGCCAACCTACCGTGTGAAAGGAATTTAATCAATGAGTAATTTTGGCAGTACTTTAACGATGTTTGTGCAAGTTTAGTAGGACATTGAACAAAATTGTGCAAGTCATCCTTGAGAAAATAACATCCAGAAAATTACACATCGATGTCAAATCAGTCTTGACATTGTGAGAAAATAAATTGAGAATTGCCACAGTTACAAATATATGTTATAATATTGTAATCTGCTGATATGATACCTATAACAGCTCAACTACAGTTTAGCCTAGCCAACCCCTTGGCCAAAGGACAGAAATGTGACATGAGCTGCTCATTGTGACTTAGCTGCTCACTCTGAGACAAACTCCAGGGAAGCGAGAAATTAGCAATCAAAGTGTGTTCCCCTGACCTTGCAGTACCTCTACCACCACCACACTCAACAGATTGCACTTGGCAGGGAAAGGCTGCACTCACTCCCTCCAAAGTGCCACACAGATGTAAATGCTGCCAGTGCAACAAAGCCTCTTTACTAATCGGCTCCTAGAACCAAAAGCACCGCAACCATCCATTTTACAAAAGTTTAGGAATGCTCTGATCTTCATCGTGTCCTCACAAGTCACCATCCCGGACATTTTCGTAAACTTTTTTTGCATCTGCCTGAGTTCACGATAATTTGTCTGCTGAGTCACCTACGAGGGAAGACCTAGAGTTGTGTTCGAATACCCATACTAACATTTTATATTTAAATTTTAGTCATTTAGCAGACGCTCTTATCCAGAGCGACTTAGTTAGTGAGTGCATACATTTTCATACTGGCCCCCCGTGGGAAACGAACCCACAACCCTGGCGTTGCAAGTGCCATGCTCTACCAACTGAGCTACAGGGGACTAACATACTGTATACTACATACTTAATGAGTATACACTACAAACTATTAGTTCATTTTAGTATACAGTAAACGAATGGTATCCTTTCAGTTGAGTGTGCTAGCGCTTTGCCTGTCTACCGGAAGTTGATGCTGTTGCTATGCAACTTCTTGCTAGCTTGTTAGCATAACAAATTACTAGTAGTACGACATCCGGGAACTTTTGGCATACTAACTATATCCATACTATGACCAATAAGCATACTACATACTCAATTTACATCACAAATAGTATGGTTAGTGCTTATTGGAACACAGCTTAGGTCTCTACTCTTGTCGCTCTACTTGGGTGGGCATTCAGTATGGCCATGCTAGAATTCCACGTATCCCTAATCTAGGGTCAAGGCAGGGTAGGGGTAATGTTAGCCCTAATTACCGTACTAATAGACACATGGATAGGAACGAGACCAGGGTGAAGTTATATGTAAGGTATGTTAAGGTTTTTTGTTAAATCTCCTTTGTGATCAGAGAACAGGATACAGTGCGTCCATGTTTTCTAGCATGACTCGATAGAGACGATCCTCGGCTTGACCCGCTTGTTGCTAACAGCTGCATCTCTGTCTGACATCTCATTCTGGTCTTGTCCTCTTCCCCCAGGAGGATGCCCAGTCTGCTGGAGTACCTGAGCTACAACTGTAACTTCATGGGCATCCTGGCCGGGCCCACCTGCTCCTACAACGACTACATGGCTTTCATCGAGGGCACGGCCTACCAGCCTCGCCACCTGGAGGCCAACGGAAAGGAGAACGGGAAGTACAAGCACACAGAGCCCTCGCCCAAGGTACCACACTGCCTGTCTCTCATTGTTAGAGCTCCCCCTACTGGTCAGGAGTAACTTGGTAGAATAAAATATAATTATTGGGTGATTCCTCACGAAACTAGAACAAAGAAATACCATGATTTTGGGGATCTCTGCTACGTTTAGTGTTATGATAGAATTTGTAAGCATTACCAACAGAGTGAATGTGAAAATGGATTTTAAAAAATGAGTCGAGAGCTTGGGACTATAAGGTTCTATCTCCAAAAATATGATTCTGAGATAATTGGCTTTAAAGTTCATTGGTTTGAATGATGTCAGCAATTTTTTTTAAATTGTATTCCAGGTTTCTTTCTGGATGAAAATGGTACTTAGGGGGTGGACGTAGCAGGGGCATGGCCATGGGCGTGGCCAATGGTGCAGTCACCGACCCAACATTTTAGAGGCCCTCCTGTTGGCTGCAGTGATAAAATGTAGCTGTTTTAAAGCTAATTTCTTGCATTTCTACACATTTTGCCATCAGGCTGAGAGAAAAATGTGCAGTTTCAAAGCAAATTTCCTGCAAATCTACACATCTTGCCATGGATTTGAGTGACTCAAACATTATTAAAAAATAAATGGGGGCCCCATCCCATGACAAAAATACTCCTGAATGCATCATTTGCGGAATTTTATTTTCTGCATACTTTATATCTGAAAAAGTTTTTCCATCCCCCCCAATGAGTTTATGTACTGCATACAAAATATTCAAACCCTTGACGTTTTCCACATTTTGTTACAGCCTTATTCTAAAATGGATTCAATTGTTTTTTCCCCTCATCAATCTACACAATACCCCATAATGACAAAGCAAAAACAGGTTTTTAGTAATGTTGGCAAAATATAAAACAACTGGAATATCACATTTACATAAGTATTCAAACCCTTTACTGAGTACTTTGTTGAAGCGCCTTTAGCACCTTTGGCAGCGATTACAGCCTCGAGTTTTCTTGGGTATGATGCTACAAGGTTGGCACATCTGTATTTGGGGAGTTTCTCCCATTCTTCTCTGCAGATCCTCTCAAGCTCGGTCAGGTTGGATGGGGAGCATCGCTCCGCAGCTATTTTCAGGTCTTTCCAGAGATTTTAGATCGGTTTCAAGTCCGGCTCTGGCTGGGCAACTCAAGGACATTCAGAGACTTGTCCCGAAGCCACTCCTGCGTTGTCTTGGCTGTGTGCTTAGGGTGGTTGTCCTGTTGGAAGGTGAACCTTCGCCCCAGTCTGAGGTCCTGACCGCTCTGGAGCAGGTTTTCAGATTTCTCTGTACTTTGCTCCGTTCATCTTTCCCTCGATCCTGACTAGTCTCACCAGTCCCTGAAAAACATCCCCACAGCATGACGCTGCCACCATCATGCTTCACCGTAGGGATGGTGCCAGGTTTCCTCCAGACGTGACGCTTGGCATTCAGGCCAAATAGTTCAATCTTGGTTTCATCAGACCAGAGAATCTTGTTTCTCATGGTCTGAAAGTCATTTAGGTGTCCTTTTGGCAAACTCCAAGCGGGCTGTCGTGTTCCTTTTACTGAGGAGTGGCTTCCGCCTGGCCACTCTACCATAAAGGCCTGATTGGTGGAGTTCTGCAGAGATGGTTGTCCTTCTGGAAGGTTCTCCCATCTCCACAGAGTAACTTTGGAGCTCTGTCAGAGTGACCATCGGGTTCTTGGTCACCTCCCTGACCAATGCCCTTCTCCCCCGATTGCTCAGTTTGGCCGGGCGGCCAGCTCTAGGAAGAGTCTTGGTGGTTTCAAACTTCTTCCATTTAAGAATGATGGAGGCCACTGTGTTCTTGGGGACCTTCAATGCTGCAGACATTTTTTGGTACCCTTCCCCAGATATGTGCCTCGACACAATCCTGTCTCGGAGCTCTACGGACAATTCCTTTGACCTCATGGCTTGGGTTTTGCTCTGAAATGCACTGTCAACTGTGGGACATTATATAGACAAGTGTGGGCCTTATCAAATCATGTCCAATCAATTGAATTTACCACAGGTGGACTCCAATCAAGTTGTAGAAACATCTCAAGGATGGTCAACGGAAACAGGATGCACCTGAGCTCAGTTTCGAGTCTCATTGCAAAGGGTCTGAATACTTATGTAAATAAGGTATTTCTGTTTTTTATTATGGGGGTATTAATGAGAGAATTAAAAAATATATACAGTGGGGAGAACAAGTATTTGATACACTGCCAATTTTGCAGGTTTTCCTACTTACAAGGTATGTAGAGGTCTGTAATTTTTATCATAGGTACACTTCAACTGTGAGAGACAAAATGAGAAAAAAAAATCCAGAAAATTACATTGTATGATTTTTAAGTAATTAATTTGCATTTTATTGCATGACATACAGTGGGGGGAAAAAAGTATTTAGTCAGCCACCAATTGTGTAAGTTTTCCCACTTAAAAAGATGAGAGAGGCCTGTAATTTTCATCATAGGTACACGTCAACTATGACAGACAAAATGAGAAAAAAAATTCCAGAAAATCACATTGTAGGATTTTTTATGAATTTATTTGCAAATTATGGTGGAAAATAAGTATTTGGTCAATAACAAAAGTTTCTCAATACTTTGTTATATACCCTTTGTTGGCAATGACACAGGTCAAACGTTTTCTGTAAGTCTTCACAAGGTTTTCACACACTGTTGCTGGTATTTTGGCCCATTCCTCCATGCAGATCTCCTCTAGAGCAGTGATGTTTTGGGGCTGTCGCTGGGCAACACGGACTTTCAACTCCCTCCAAAGATTTTCTATGGGGTTGAGATCTGGAGACTGGCTAGGCCACTCCAGGACCTTGAAATGCTTCTTACGAAGCCACTCCTTCGTTGCCCGGGCGGTGTGTTTGGGATCATTGTCATGCTGAAAGACCCAGCCACGTTTCATCTTCAATGCCCTTGCTGATGGAAGGAGGTTTTCACTCAAAATCTCACGATACATGGCCCCATTCATTCTTTCCTTTACACGGATCAGTCGTCCTGGTCCCTTTGCAGAAAAACAGCCCCAAAGCATGATGTTTCCACCCCCATGCTTCACAGTAGGTATGGTGTTCTTTGGATGCAACTCAGCATTCTTTGTCCTCCAAACACGACGAGTTGAGTTTTTACCAAAAAGTTATATTTTGGTTTCATCTGACCATATGACATTCTCCCAATCCTCTTCTGGATCATCCAAATGCACTCTAGCAAACTTCAGACGGGCCTGAACATGTACTGGCTTAAGCAGGGGGACACGTCTGGCACTGCAGGATTTGAGTCCCTGGCGGCGTAGTGTGTTACTGATGGTAGGCTTTGTTACTTTGGTCCCAGCTCTCTGCAGGTCATTCACTAGGTCCCCCCGTGTGGTTCTGGGATTTTTGCTCACCGTTCTTGTGATCATTTTGACCCCACGGGGTGAGATCTTGCGTGGAGCCCCAGATCGAGGGAGATTATCAGTGGTCTTGTATGTCTTCCATTTCCTAATAATTGCTCCCACAGTTGATTTCTTCAAACCAAGCTGCTTACCTATTGCAGATTCAGTCTTCCCAGCCTGGTGCAGGTCTACAATTTTGTTTCTGGTGTCCTTTGACAGCTCTTTGGTCTTGGCCACAGTGGAGTTTGGAGTGTGACTGTTTGAGGTTGTGGACAGGTGTCTTTTATACTGATAACAAGTTCAAACAGGTGCCATTAATACAGGTAACGAGTGGAGGACAGAGGAGCCTCTTAAAGAAGAAGTTACAGGTCTGTGAGAGCCAGAAATCTTGCTTGTTTGTAGGTGACCAAATACTTATTTTCCACCATAATTTGCAAATAAATTCATAAAAAATCCTACAATATGATTTTCTGGATTTTTTTCCCTCAATTTGTCTGTCATAGTTGACGTGTACCTATGATGAAAATTACAGGCCTCTCTCATCTTTTTAAGTGGGAGAACTTGCACAATTGGTGGCTGACTAAATACTTTTTTCCCCCACTGTAAGTATTTGATCACCTACCAACCAGTAAGATTTCCGGCTCTCACAGACCTGTTAGTTTTTCTTTAAGAAGCCCTCCTGTTCTCCACTCATTACCTGTATTAACTGCACCTGTTTGAACTCGTTACCTGTATAAAAGACACCTGTCCACACACTCAATCAAACAGACTCCAACCTCTCCACAATGGCCAAGACCAGAGAGCTGTGTAAGGACATCAGGGATAAAATTGTAGACCTGCACAAGGCTGGGATGGGCTACAGGCCAATAGGCAAGCAGCTTGGTGAGAAGGCAACAACTGTTGGCGCAAATATTAGAAAATGGAAGAAGTTCAAGATGACGGTCAATCACCCTCGGTCTGGGGCTCCATGCAAGATCTCACCTCGTGGGGCATCAATGATCATGAGGAAGGTGAGGGATCAGCCCAGAACTACACGGCAGGACCTGGTCAATGACCTGAAGAGAGCTGGGACCACAGTCTCAAAGAAAACCATTAGTAACACACTACGCCGTCATAGATTAAAATCCTGCAGCGCACGCAAGGTCCCCCTGCTCAAGCCAGCGCATGTCCAGGCCCATCTGAAGTTTGCCAATGACCATCTGGATGATCCAGAGGAGGAATATGAGAAGGTCATGTGGTCTGATGAGACAAAAATAGAGCTTTTTGGTCTAAACTCCACTCGCCGTGTTTGGAGGAAGAAGAAGGATGAGTACAACCCCAATAACACCATCCCAACCGTGAAGCATGGAGGTGGAAACATCATTCTTTGGGAATGCTTTTCTGCAAAGGGGACAGGACGACTGCACCGTATTGAGGGGAGGATGGATGGGGCCATGTATCGCGAGATCTTGGCCAACAACCTCCTTCCCTCAGTAAGAGCATTGAAGATGGGTCGTGGCTGGGTCTTCCAGCATGACAACGACCCGAAACACACAGCCAGGGCAACTAAGGAGTGGGTCCGTAAGAAGCATCTCAAAGTCCTGCAGTGGCCTAGCCAGTCTCCAGACCTGAACCCAATAGAAAATCTTTGGAGGGAGCTGAAAGTCCTTATTGCCCAGCGACAGTCCCGAAACCTGAAGGATATGGAGAAGGTCTGTATGGAGGAGTGGGCCAAAATCCCTGCTGCAGTGTGTGCAAACCTGGTCAAGACCTACAGGAAATTTATGATCTCTGTAATTGCAAACAAAGGTTTCTGTACCAAATATTAAGTTCTGCTTTTCTGATGTATCAAATACTTATGTCATGCAATAAAATGCAAATTAATTACTTAAAAATCATACAATGTGATTTTCTGGATTTTTGTTTTAGATTCTGTCTCTCACAGTTGAAGTGTACCTATGATAAAAATTACAGACCTGCTTTGTAAGTAGGAAAACCTGCAAAATCGGCAGTGTATCAAATACTTGTTCTCCCCACTGTATATTTTAGAATAAGGGTGAAAAAGTCAAGGGGTCTGAATACTTTCCGAATGCACTGTATGTGTATGTATATGTGTGTGTGTATATGCATGTATGTGTGTGTATATATGCATGTAAAGTACCAGTCAAACGTTTGGACACACCTACTCATTCAAGGGTTTTTCTTTATTTTTTTACTATTTTCTACATTGTAGAATAATAGTGAAGACATCAAAACTATGTAATAACACATATAGAATCATGTAGTAACCAAAAAAGTGTTAAACAAACCAAAATTATTTTCTATTTTAGATTCTTCAAATTAGCCACCCTTTGCCTTGATGATGGCTTTGCACACTCTTGGCATTCTCTCAACCAGCTTCACCTGGAATGCTTTTCCAACAGTCTTGAAGGAGTTCTCACATATGCTGAGCACTTGTTGGCTGCTTTTCCTTCACTCTGCTGTCCAACTCATCCCAAACCATCTCAATTGGGTTGAGGTCGGGTGATTGTGGAGGCCAGGTCATCTGATGCAGCACTCCATTACTCTCCTTGGTCAAATAGCCATTACACAGCCTGGAGGTATGTTGGGTCATTGTCCTGTTGAAAAAACAAATGATAGTCCCACTAACCACAAACCAGATGGGATGTCGTATCGCTGCAGAATGCTTTGGTAGCCATGCTGGTTAATTGTGCTTTGAATTCTAAATAAATCACCAACAGTGTCACCAGCGAAGCATCCCCACACCATCACACCTTCTCCTCCATACTTCACGGTGGGAACCACACATGCGGAGATCATCCGTTCACCTACTCTGCGTCTCACAAAGACACAGCGGTTGTAACCAAATATCTCACATTTGGACTCATCAGACCAAAGAACAGATTTCCACCGGTCTAATGATTCACCCAGTCTCCTCTGAAAAGTTGATGTTGAGATGGGTCAGTTACTTGAACTCTGTGACGCATTTATTTCGGCTGCAATCTGAGCTGCAGTTAACTCTAATTAACTTATCCTCTGCAGCAGAGGTAACTCTGGGTCTTCCTTTCCTGTGGCGGTTCTCATGAGAGCGAGTTTCATCATAGCGCTTGATGGTTTTTGAGTCTGCACTTGAAGAAACTTTCAAAGTTCTTGAAATGTTCTGTATTGACTGACCTTCATGTCTTAAAGTAATGATGGACTGTCGTTTCTCTTTGCTTATTTGAGCTGTTCTTGCCATAATATGGACTTGGTCTTTTACCAAATACGGCTATCTTCTGTATACCACCCCTACCTTGTCACAACACAACTGATTGGCTTAAACGCATTAAGAAGGAAATAAATTCCACAAATTAACTTTTAACAAGGCACACCTGTTAATTGAAATGCATTCCAGGTGACTACCTCATGAAGCTGGTTGAGAGAATGCCAAGAGTGTGCAAAGCTGTCATCAAGGCAAAGGGTGGCTACTTTGAAGAATCTCAAATAAAATATATTTTGATTTGTTTAAAACTTTTTTATTTACTACATGATTCCATATGTGTTATTTCATAGTTTTGATGTCTTCACTATTATTCTACAATGTAAAAAATAGTACAAATAAAGGAAAAACCCTGGAATGAGTAGGTGTGTCCAAACCTTTGACTGGTTGTGTGTGTGTGTGTGTGTGTGTGTGTGTGTGTGTGTGTGTGTGTGTGTGTGTGTGTGTGTGTGTGTGTGTGTGTGTGTGTGTGTGTGTGTGTGTGTGTGTGTACTGTATAATTTATATCCCACTCCAGAGTTTGAGTGTGGAGTTGTTCTTGTGAGATACTGTTATGGCGAAAGTATTCAGTAAAGGGAAGGGACACAATACAAGCCCTGTTAAATATGGAGAGTGTTCTCAGACAGCCTAGCCTCACTAAAGAGTAATTTAAGGGAGTTGTAGGTTACTCTTTAACAGAGCTGCAGCCATGCTGTTTTTTTTGTCTCATCAAAACACAAAAGCTGCAACACAACACGTCCAATATTTACTGCTGTCAAAGATCTCCTGCTGTTGTACAAAAGGGCATAGGCCTATACATGTTTTTGAAGTTTCTTGCAAAACACAAAGCTAATATTTCTGACGCTAACTTGTCAAGCTCATGTAGTGGGTGAACCCGGTCATAAAAATCGGTTAACTTTTTTTGTTCTATCGACTTCAAGAGTTCACATCTTCACATATTGAACAAATTTGCAAAACTACAAACAGACTTTAGTCAATTAACTTTTGGTAACCCTAGCCTGCAGGTATAATGCATTATCGGGTGATAATGCTTCGTAAGACTCATAAACATGTACGACCTCCTTATAATGTATTTTAATCATCTCATATCTGTTTTGCCCCCTCACAGAATGACATTATCTCCAAACTGTGTACCTGTGCCATCTCCCTGGCCATCTTCCTGTCCGTGTCTAAGTTCTGTCCTGTGGAGCGCTCCATCGACGACAAGTTCATCGCCTCTACCCCCTTCATCCTCCAGGTCCTCTACCTGTACCTCTCCATGTTGGCCACCCGGCCCAAGTACTACTTCATTTGGACCCTGTGTGAGTGCACTTTAGTATTATTCATGTGACTAAATCTGAAGTAAAAAAACAAAACAAAAACGTGAAGTATTTGGGATTTTTGAAGGCTGCTGGGGGAGAATAATGTGGGTGTTAGCCACTCCTTATAACAAATCAGGGTGATATTGGCTCTTCTAAACTCACATATAACAGTTGGGCTACTTGCAATGTGTTACACTGCCCTCTAGTGTCAAGGGGGAGAACTCACTATACCAGAGCCTCTGTTCATTCAGTTGTAGACCTACTATAGTCAAACAGAATGGTCTTGACAGTAATGGATGTTGTTATTCTGTCTTGGCCACTGACATTCTGCCTGGTAACCTTTGTTGTGTTTTCCCATTGGACAGCTGATGCCATAAACAACGCTGCAGGCTTTGGCTTCAATGGCTACAACAAAGATGGCACCCCAAGATGGGACTTGATATCCAACTTGAGAATACTGGACATTGAGGTTAGGCTCTGCCTTTTTTAAAATTATTCACATTTTCACTAGTACTGTAGTAGTAGTGTATGCTATTATTATCTAGTTTGGCTACATTCACTACTAGAACAGCACCATCTCTCTCTTTCTAGTTTGCCACCAGTTTCAAGATGTTCCTCGACAACTGGAATATCCAGACAGCACTTTGGCTCAAAAGGTAAAATGCATCATAAACCAGATTACGCTCTACTATCTCACGACAGTAGTCGTGTAGATAGAATATCTACAGTTTATCTATATGTAGATTGTACTATCACAGATAGTAGGCCTATATATCAGTAGTCATGCTGATAGTATACTGAAAGTCTGCACTGGTCTGCCATTATCTCTGTACGGATAACACATAATCATCACAAGTTGGGATGCTAATGCTTTAGTTAGCATTAGCTAGTGTGCTAATGCTGCATCTGCGTCATGTGCACTCAGGCTGAGATGCTACTATTGTGATTAGCATTAGCGGGTATGCTAATACTTTAACTGTACCATGTCTGTTCTCTACAGGGTTTGCTATGAGCGCTGTCCCATCAACCCCACGGCGGCCACCTTCCTACTGTCGGCCATGTGGCACGGAGTGTACCCCGGGTACTACCTCACCTTCCTCACCGGCATCAGCATGACCATGGCAGCACGGGCAGTGAGTACACAGTCAACACAGCTGGTGTTACCGACCGGGAATCAAACCCGGGTTGTCTGCACACCTCAAAACTGCATTAGCCTTTTGCGCTAAAGCCTAGGTGTTTACTCTGCCAGCTAATGCAAGTCCTCAAGTTTCAGGCAAGGTTACAAAAGCACATCATTGATGTCTTTAGCTGGTGTTGCCCCATCTCATTCGTCAATGCATTTGTCACAGTCACCATTAGCTCTGGAGCAGACCTTACCTCTGATATAATAGAAGTGAGTTGGTGGACTAGGATGATATTTATGTGAAGACCGCAGAGAGCTGACATGGGGAGACTGAGCTGTGACCCTGTTCTGATTTAAACAGGAGGCTATAAAAAAACAGGGCTTGGGCACTGGCCGCTAGGATTTAAAGCACATACCCCTTGGCACAGCGGATGAGTGCGTGTGGGTGGGTGGGTTTGTGTGTGTGTGTGTGTGTGTGGGAGGGGGCGCAGTCTGCTTACACATGAACAATAGTGAGCAATGGTGTGTGTAGCAGTATGATAGAGACAGGGTAATGGACAGGGTGTGTAGCAGTATGATAGAGACAGGGTAATGGACAGGGTGTGTAGCAGTATGATAGAGACAGGGTAATGGACAGGGTGTGTAGCAGTATGATAGAGACAGGGTAATGGACAGGGTGTGTAGCAGTATGATAGAGACAGGGTAATGGACAGGGTGTGTAGCAGTATGATAGAGACGGGGTAATGGACAGGGTGTGTAGCAGTATGATAGAGACAGGGTAATGGACAGGGTGTGTAGCAGTATGATAGAGACAGGGTAATGGACAGGGTGTGTAGCAGTATGATAGAGACGGGGTAATGGACAGGGTGTGTAGCAGTATGATAGAGACAGGGTAATGGACAGGGTAATGGACAGGGTGTGTAGCAGTATGATAGAGACAGGGTAATGGACAGGGTAATGGACAGGGTGTGTAGCAGTATGATAGAGACAGGGTAATGGACAGGGTGTGTAGCAGTATGATAGAGACAGGGTAATGGACAGGGTGTGTAGCAGTATGATAGAGACAGGGTAATGGACAGGGTGTGTAGCAGTATGATAGATACAGAGAGAGACAGGGCAATGGACAGGGGGATCATCATTGTGACAGTAGGAGAGTCAGAGGACAGAGAGGCCCGTGGTAGACAGACGTTGTCCCTAGATGACCTCCACATCTCCTCGACACTCAGCTCCATTCTCCCTCTCCATCACATCTAGGAATAACATAGTCATAAGCTGTCATGATAAAATATAACTAGATCGGAACTAGATGTTACAATTCCCTATCCGGAAGTATGCACTTTGCACTTGCACACTTTCCCTCATGGATTAATGAAAGCATTGGATTGGTGTCAGCACAGGCTGGTATGGGAGTTTCCATTTGTCATGTTTGTTAGACCAGTGCATTATTTTATAAACCACAAGGGGGAGTGAATGAGTGCAAACCTGGGTGAGAACGGTAGCAAATTGCACCGCAGCCATGATATCCTGAAAAGGAATTTCAGAAAGACAAAGCTCTATATTCATATTGATACTCTAAATGCATTCTAAATACAGGTCATGGGTGAGTTATGCAGTAATGATGGCCATCCAAGTTGATTGCTTCTGTTATTGTAGTATAAAAAACTGGGTCAGTCAACTTCTTGTAAGGAGTTAGTTTATAATGGATACAAGAGGCCATTTAAGTCTGAAAGCTGTTGACTTGTTAATGGGGTCGTAACTCTGATGGGCCCATCTTATATTCTCTAACCTCCATTGCATCTTCTCTGATTATTCAATACTTATTTTTACTTTCTGTATCTTAAAGTCAATGCAACATAATGTTTGTTATGTGATTTATTCACAATTTCTTCCTGTGGCTCACTTCCAGCTAAGACACAACATCAGACCCTATTTCCTGGGTTCAACGACACACAAGAGCATCTACGACGTCATCACGTGGGCGGGGACTCAGATCGTCATCTGCTACACGGTGGTGCCATTCGTCCTATTGGCCGTTGGGCCGTCCCTCAAGTTCTACAGGTGAGTGGCATTACTGATATTCCACATGCTCTACCAGCTCTTTTGAAATGTAATACATATGTAAGAAGTTATGTTATATGTAACAATGTATATTCAAAACAGTAACTTTATTAATACTTGTGTAGACTACCAATGTGCGTGACTCAAAATGTGTTGGGTCCTAGGAAACGTGGGAAGCACCACCATGTTCAAAACCCCTGTCATTCTTATTGTGATTTTTTTCTCCAAATGCCAGTTCAACAATGCAGGCCAATGATATGCCAATGAGTACGGCACAGACAGGGACACGGCAAAGACAGGGACACGGCACAGAGAATAACCTCCGTTCCACGGCACAGAGAATAACCTCCGTTCCACTTTCTTTGTGGCCCCCCTCAGTGCCAAACTGTTAATGAGACCACTTAACGACTAGAAGACAGGGACGATTGATGGGGAGAAATAAAACGGGGGCTATATGTGATCAGGGCACTCCAGTGAAATCGAAACAAATCTACAGTGTAATTTGGTGGAAGGTTGTTGTTATTTCTGCCAGGCTGAGAGGCGTATAAACCCCAGTCATTAAACAGGAGAGTTAGGGGCTGGCTGGCTGGCTGCTTGAATGGAAGGAGGGAGGGAGTGAGACCTAGTCCGAAACCATGAGGTGCCTTGAGGACATGGTCTTCTGTTTTAGGATTTAATGGTCCACTGTGCTGCTGACCTGTGTGGACTTTAATAATCCCATAATCACAAATACACTGACTGTAGGTACATAGAGGGCAGGATTTTCTTTCCCATTAGGATTAGGTAGAATAACTTGTCAGGACTAGTTCACCCATAATGAGTCCAAATAATTTGTATTCACAGTGACATTTTGTGAACTCTTCTGGAATCTTTATGCCACATAGAAAACTCTCCTTGGCATGCTCTTTCGGGGGCTTAGGCCTGGATGGCGGTTATGTGACAAATGCATTTGTGAACATTGCTATACAGAGCAGATGACATCTTGATTGATTGATTGATTGATTGATTGATTGATTGACTGATTGATTGATCCTCTCTCTCCAGGTCATGGCACTACTGTATCCACATAGCCTGCCTGCTGCTGGTGTTAGCCCTTCCAGTGAAGCCCCGGCACCTCCGCATCAAGGAGGAGCAACAGCAGCAGAACACTCTACAGGTTGACCACAACAGCCACTCCATCACAGACAACAACTGCAACCAGAAACACAAAGCCACATGAGACCTGGGAGGAAGCCCCCCCCCCCCCCCCCCCCCCACACACACACACACACACACACCTCAGCGCTCAAACAACCGGCACAGAGAGAACAGAACTCTGCTCGAACACTGAGACAAAGTGTGGCGATTCTTTGAGACCACAAAGAACCAAAAAAACGGACAGGAACACCGGCATAACAGACAATAACAAACACAGTTAAACAACAACAACCAACAACAACAACAACCCGTCAAACCTTCCAGTAGCAAGGAAAGACCGCAAATCATGCTTTGGAGAAATGAGAAGAAACGTGAGGAATGGATAGAGAGAGTGGTATCCAAGGGTTACCAAATGGCTAGGATCTAATGAGCGATAATAATGACATTAGTGATGATGCAAACGGTGCAATGCTAATCGACAGAATACCGAAGACTCTGAAGTTGCCTTAAACCCTCTATGTACTGCTAGCAGGTTAGCGGCCAGGCTAGGTGCATATTCTGCAGGGTGAGAATGGTTGTGTTGAGGGGAGATCTTGTTGCATTGGGAAATTAAGCAGTTGTAGTAGGACCTCCGCCATGTAGAGGGCGCTATACAGGCTAGTCAGACATGTATCTAGAGGGTTTTTGTCCGAAAAGGATGTAACCTCTACTAGAAAAAGAGGCGTGGTAGAAAAGTGAGAGAAATATATGAAAGAAATATAACTTTTGTCTGATGCCAACTCCAAGCAGGCTGCCTTGTTTGATTACTGTCACTTTTGTTTGGTTTTTTTACCTGTTTTGTTTTTTTCATATCTGCTGCTTTTTTGGAATGATACTCCTTCTATAGAAATGAGGGTGCATTACAAAATGAGTGTGTTCACGGTGACTGTTGATTTAGATTAATTGTTTTTAAGGGCTTTTTTGACATGGGGCTAATTTCCTACTGTAACTGATTCCAAACTGTAGGTTTCCTCTAGGTTCAAATGTCTTGCCTTCCTCTGTAGCATCAGTTACAAGTTCAGTACTGTTAAAGTGGTTTGAAATCTACAACTATGCTTCTAGATTTACTTTATGAAAAGTTACTTAAATAAAAATCTCCCTCGATTAGTTTTTGAATCCATAGCCTCTAAATGAAATGCAACAAACTGTATTGTTACCATACTGTATGAGTAATCAGATATAGGATGTGATGATTAATATCACACTAACTGAAGCTAACTGTAAAGTAAATGATGTTTCTAGAGCTACACTGTAGTCCAAATGAAGCTGATTTAGATGTCTGAATTACCTTTCAGTAACACTAAAGGTTGGGCAATATGTGTTTGACGTTTAGGAAACCTACTGTATGTAATATTATTTGTACGTGTTTAACATAATTGGAATAATGGGAAACATAACATATTTCTTATGTTTCAAGTTTTTGTTAGTCGTATGTACAGGATACACATGGTATACACCATCCAACGAAATGCTTACTTGCTTAATGCTTACTTAATTCTTATGCTCTAATCATGAAGCATAACTCGTATGCTGCCTTGTTTTGTGACCCTCTTAATAAACAAAATAATATTTCAAGCCATATCCCAGACATAAGCCACAACCCAAGAGGTTCCATCATTACTGTAATGTGGGAACCACTGGTGTAAGAGATACATCTGGTGGGCGAACCAACTCTTCCATGAGGGGTTGATAATTGTGGTCCAGAGGACAGCCCATGAGCATAGTCTACAAATGTTCTGGTTAAGGTTTCACAGTGCCTTGTTTCTGCAGAGGTATGGACAAGGGTGTACTGGGACGAGAAATCGGCCATGGAATTTCTAACACTCTTCGAGGCCCCCACATGGCCCATTTCTTTCCTTGAAACCCCCATTATTATCAAGATAATTATAATGTTGTGCAAGAAAAGCAAGTTAGACAGGCCCACTGGGCTAAAAATGGACCAGCCCATCTGGCATTTGCCGGAAATGCCAGATGGCCAGTCCGCCCCTGGGTATGGAACATTCCATCTCATACAGTGCAGGCAGCCATTTAACATCTTTTTGACCATACAACATTTATTAGATGGTAAGACTTGGCTTAGTGCTGTAGTACAACCAAGATGGCAGCCAATGAACCAGTTTAGGGGACTTTCTTTTGTGATAATGAGTAACAACAATGCAGCAGATTCGGGTTTTCCAATGTAATCTTTCTTCATCTTGTTTTTCTAACATGTGCATACTCCTGCCATAAATGTGTGTATTTATGTAATTTTTAGATGTTCACGTGGTCTATAAGTGTATTTGTAGCCAAGGTGTAATGCCTGATGAAAGGAAAGGGATGCTACCTTTACCAACAAGTTGATAATTGCACTGCATGGCCACCCAAACCTAGCCTGGCTAAACTAGACTGAACACTATGCACGCAATTGTTTGTGTAGCATTGTGTGGTTTAACCAGGCTACCCCAAACCAGCAGATCAATGCAAACTGCTCCATATGTCCAAAGTGCCAAGTCATAAACGGCCCATATACTGTATGTTGTACGTATGTGAAAACATAATGGTTATTTTTGTGTCAAGAAAGAAGAAACTTAATGAAAGATTTGTATAAGTCCTTTGAAAAAACGGATTTATGTTGTCAAATAAAGAAATTATTTTTCAAACACTAATGCAGAGATTTACAACCAGAGAGTCTTCTCGCTCGCCTTCTTTTGCACTTTTGATATGAATGTTAGTGTGCAGTGCTACACGGGGAAGTTGCCAGGGAAGAAGGCAAAAAAGGGATGGGGATTCACAGCGAGGATAGAAATATTTTATCCACATGGGATCATTGGATAGAGATGTGTTAGGGTGCATCCCAATAGTCCTACATGGCTTCCATTCCTTGCCTCGTTCCCTTCATCCTCACTAGTCTGAAAATATAGGCCTGGCGAAAGTACTATGGTAGATCACTACCATGGCTACCAGCCAAGCTTTCACAAATCCAGTTATTTTAAATGGAGGAAAGAAGATGAAGCCACTTTGGACTATTGAGCGACACCATAAAATGTGTGTATCTGACTCTGACCCTCTAGGTTTCTGAAAAGAGCGCTTGGAAAAGGAGCCAGGTTCACGAGCATTAAGTCACTGGCCTGCACCTAATCAGAAGCACAGTGGAAATGAAAAAGCTTGAAATCTGGGTCTAAGAGATCCCTCTCATTTCCCAACCTAAAACAAAGAAGAATCCTCTGCTATATTTCTGTGTGTGAGTGTGAAAGGGAAGTTCTGTATATCTTTATTAAACTATTAAGCATTTGTTTTGAACAGTCATGTATATGGTAAAATGCAGAGTATTGGAAATGCATGTAAGACGCAACACATTCGCCTTATCCCTCCATTTGCCATCATCATCAGTGGACAGGGCCACAGGACTGCTAATAATACTAATGTATCCCTGTCAGTCAACATGGCTCTGAGTGCTATATCAGTTTTTGATCATATTTGGAATGTTTCCACCAAGTCCTCTCCCAGGCATTAGCTATTATTATTCAGTAGATTGTATAATGCAAATGATCTTATTCCAAGAATCCAGACATTGGGATATGTTGATCAAATCAAATTGTATTTGTCACATGCTTCATAGACAACAGGTGTAGATTAACAGTGAAATGCTTACTTACAGGTCCTTTTCCAACAATGTGGAGTTAAAGATTAGAAAAATATATATAATAATAGATAGTGACACAAGGAATAAATAAATACACAGTGAATAATTAATTGTATTATTATTTTTACAATAATGCCTTTCTGTGCATCTTTCTTCACTGTGAGTGACCTTTCAACCCTTTACCGTTTACACTGCTTGCTTTCCAGTTTGTGCTAGCGTCCTTAAAAGTTACAGTTTATTTGGATTAAGAAAGTTTATTGATAAGTGGAGGATCTTTCTAATCTACTGTACACTGACCTGGTTTTGAATAGGTTGAGGAATATTCAGTCTTGTATTCTGCCATTTATGCTTGTTTTTTTTTGTTGCTTTAGTTCACTTTCAATACCAAATTTGCCTTCCCTGAATTCAACTGAGTGTTCTTTAGGCTATCTATGTTTAAATAAGAGTATCATTTTTAATAAGTGGCTGTTTTTATTTATGTATTATTCATGAAAACGTGGGGGAGGTGTCAAGTTGGTCACTTTTGTCAACACTGTGAAGCTTTCTTGTAAAAATGCTTTTTTTTGTAACAGTCTGTGTCTGTTGGGACATAGGCCTATGTATTTTTGTTTCATCTAAATGTTTCAGTTATATTCTTGACTGTGTTGGTGGTGTATGTTTCTTGGCAGTAGCCTACTGATTAAAGCAGCTGATTATATACGTTTCGTGGTCACTTTTTTAGTGGTTCATAGTGGTTATGCAATGTAATGTAGGGATTTCAATTAACTACATTACATGGTAAGGCAGGCCAGTATTGAACATCACATTTCTAGCCTTGAACAATGATAGATGAGGCGATTAAATTTTGACCAGTCAGGTAAGCGCGTACTGCGGCTGCGTGCACCTTGTAGCTGTTTAAACCACGTCACGCCTTCGCTGTAAAAGTAGGCGGAGGTTTGACAAGCCACTCAAATCGTCAAATGTTCATAGCTAGCTAAACTGCCTGAAAAAGTACAAGATGGTTGTGGTGTCAAAACAGTGAAGAAACTGAACGTTGGGAAATGAAAAAGGAAGCACCGGGTAACCCAGCTTGGACGAGAGGACGTTGTATTGTTTATTACTCGTAAAAGGTAAGATTCGAAGCAACCTGGGTTTTTGTGATTAGCAAGCATGGTAGCTAGTTAGCCTCAACAGGATATTAAAACACCTTCTGTTTACGATATTAGCTATGCTGGCAGCACGATCGCAGATTTTTTGTCTTCAAAATAAGAGTCCCCCAGCAAAGACATAATATATATACTCTACCAGTCAAAAGTTTGGACACACCTACTCATTCAAGGATTTGTCTTCATTTTTACAATTTGTTTTACATTGTAGGATAATAGTGAAGACATCAACACTATGAAATAACACATATGGAATCATGTAGTAACCCAAAAAACGGTTAAATAACTTCAAATAGCCACTCTTTGCCTTGATGACAGCTTTGCATGGTCTTGGCATTCTCTCAACCAGCTTCATGAGTTAGTCACCTGGAATGCATTTCAATTAACAGGTGTGCCTTGTTAAAAGTTAATTTGTGGAATTTCTTTCCTTCTTAATGCGTTTGAGCCAATCAGTTGTGTTGTAGTAGGGGGGGGGATATACAGAAGGTAGCCCTATTTTTCTAAAAGGCCAAGTCCATATTATGGCAAGAACAGCTCAAATAAGTAAAGAGAAACGACAGTCCATCATTACTTTAAGACATGAAGGTCAGTCAATGCGGAACATTTCAAGAACTTTGAAAGTTTCTTCAAGTGCAGTCGCAAAAACCATCAAGCGCTATGATGAAACTGGCTCTCATGAGGACCGCCACAGGAATGGAAGACCCAGAGTTACCTCTGCTGCAGAGGATAAGTTCATTAGAGTTACCAGCCTCAGAAATTGCAGCCCAAATAAATACTTCACGGAGTTCAAGTCACAGACACATTTCAACATCAACTGTTCAGAGGGGACTGTGTGAATCAGGCCTTCATGGTCGAATTGCTGCAAAGAAACCACTACTAAAGGACACCCATAAGAAGAAGAGACCTGCTTGGGCCAACACAAGCAATGGACATTAGACCGGTGGAAATGTGTCCTTTGGTCTGGAGTCCAAATTGGAGATTTTTGGATCCAACCCGCCGTGTCTTTGTGAGACGCGGTGTGGGTGAACGGATGATCTCTGCATGTGTAGTTCCCACTGTATTATTCTACAATGTAGAAAATAGTAAAAATAAAGAAAAACCACTGAATGAGTAGGTGTGTCCAAACTTTTGACTGGTAGTGTATATGTAGATATCTTTGTTAGAAAGAAAACTATATTTCCCTTAACGGAGTGATGCTGAATGTACAAAATGCTCAACTTACCCCACTCTCCCCTAACTATCCTGTAATGGCTAATGGAGCATTATATTAGCCTGTTACAATCTGCTAGCTAGGAGTTACTGTATATTGGCATATTAAAACAACCATTCAGGGCTCTACAGGGTTACCATTTTGGTCGCCAATGCTCCTAAATATTGTGCTGTGCTACCTGGAATATTTATTTGGGCACACCAGTGCCCCTTGGGGAAAAAAACGGTATTTTGTAATTGCTGGCAATTCTCATTATTAATACCTCAAATATTTTTCCTTGTGCTCCTAAAAGTCTTTATGTGCTCTTACATTTGTCAACTTAGGAGCACATGTGCTCCTTGTAAAAAATGGCAGCATAGAGCCCTGCCATTATATAGCCTAGTCTACTATGATTATTTGTTTCTATGTTACACCTTGACCCAATGGACTAGCTCGTTCAGGCTAGGTGTAAAATATAAAATTAATACATATTTCTCTGTACCTAGGCTGTTGCATTCAGGTACATTTTATTCTAAGCTGTTTGACCCTTGTCCTTCTGCTGTTCCAAAAATAAGACCTTGTTGTGAGCAACACATCCCATGGAAATGTATCCTCAGCAGTTTCACCCCCACATGACAGGCAAACCGGCTATAACGAGCTTACTGGTTACATTTGGAGATCTTGGAACTTAATATCTCCCACCAGCAGTGCACACTTAACAGAGGTATGAGGTTGATGTTGATAGATAGTCTTAAAGGGATACTTAAGGATTTTGGCAATGAGGCCCTTTATCTACTTCCCCAGAGTCAGATGAACTTATGGATACCATTTCTGTCTCTGCGTGCAGTTTGAAGGAAATTGCTAATAGAGAACGACCGATAATCGGCCGAGCCGATATATCGGGCCGATATTGGCTTTTTCTAGTGTATCGGCTATCGGCCCTTCTTTACCGATAGTCCCTCTACATAGCAAAACTGCTGATATGTCGCGCTGCATGAGGCAAATGGTGGTCACACTAGATACTGACTGGTTTTCTGATCCACGCTCCTCCCTTTTTTTTAAAGGTATCTGTGACCAACAGATATCTGTATTCCCAGTCATGTGAAATCCATAGATTAGGGCCTGATTAATTTATTTCAATTGACTGATTTCCTTATATGAACTTTAACTCAGTAAAATCTTTGAAGTTGTTGCATGTTGCGTTTTATATTTTTGTTCAGTATGCTTCTTACTTCCTTCATACTGGACACAGAGGCATAGAAATGGTATCCACAAGTTTGTCTGACTCTGGGGAAGTACTGTAGAAAACGGGCCTCATTGCCAAAATCCAAAAGTAGCCCTTTAACATTGTCCTTCTTGTGGTATTTGGACCTAGACCTAATTTGACATTTTGTTTTAGTAAATGAGGAGTATGTATTGATGAAGTAGTATTTGACCAGTGAATTATTGAAACATCAGCTTTTTTATGCTGAGAAAGGATGCATTCAGTGACAATGAATGCTCATTATACTTTCTCATTGAGACCTACATTAATTTGTTTTGTTTTTTACATTCATGCATAGCCTGAATAGTTAAATATACCTACATTGACATCTAAAGCCTGTAACCATACAGCTCTATTGATGGAACAGTAGAGCATGTAATGTATGGCAACTGCTTGGCCTCCGACTGGCCTCCGACCGCAAGGCACTACAGAAGGTAGTGCGTACGGCCCAGTACATCACTGGAGCCAAGCTTCCTGCCATCCAGGACCTCTATACCAGGCGGTGTCAGAGGAAGGCCCTCAAAATTGTCAAAGACTCCAGCCACCCTAGTCATAGACTGTTCTCTCTGCTACCGCACGGCAAGCAGTACCGGAGTGCCAAGTCTAGGTCCAAGAGGCTTCTCAACAGCTTCTACCCCCAAGCCATAAGACTCCTGAACAGCTAATCATGGCTACCCAGACTATTTGCACTGCCCCCCCCCCCCCCCCCCCCCCCCCACCCCATCTTTTTACGCTGCTGCTACTCTGTTAATTATTTATGCATAGTCACTTTAACTCTACCCACATGTACATATTACTTCAACTACCTCAACTAGCCGGTGCCCCCGCACATTGACTGCACCGGTACCCCCCTGTATATATAGCCTCCTTACTGTTATTTTATTTTACTTCTGCTCTTTTTTTCTCAACACTTTTTTTTGTTGTTTTATTCTACTTTTTTATTAAAAAGAAATGCACTGTTGGTTAAGGGCTGTAAGTAAGCATTTCACTGTAATGTCTGCACCTGTTGTATTCGGCGCATGTGGCCAATAACATTTGATTTAATAGTGGCTTGTGTCTCTATTGTGTTGGAGAGGGGTTGGGGCGTTGCTCTGCCTGCTCATCAATTATTCATGGTCAGGGACAGGGAGGGATGTGGAGCCTAGGCAACGCTTGTTGATACTCAGTCAGTTTGGCTGAGGGACAGTAATTGAAGAACAACCATTACCATTCAGTGCAGTCAAACTGACATTTTCCATAAAGGTAAGCCACTCAGTTCTTTGTTAATTATTGGACTTTGCTCATTGCTATGTTTGAGGCCTGTGTAATACTAAGGCTATTTAGTATACTTGTCTTAGGCTACTTCTTGGTGTTTCTTTGTTGGTCTTTTGTTGGTTTCTGTTTTGCAATGGTGGTGGATGAGGTGAAGTGGTGAACTTCCTCATTCAATACTACGTGCAGAGAATCCTTGAGGTTCGTTGATTGTTGCCTGGTGTCACGCTGCTGATAGCGGCTGTGCTGCCTCTGAGACACACGAGGGTGTGTCAGCTCAGCAGGTTCATGTTGCCTCAACAACTGAACTGGAAACAAAGGCTCTACTCAGTTGTGTGTATGACAGAATGATCTGAACGGAGAGAAAATATATTATATAAATGTTTTTAACAAAGCCTGTTAGCCTAGCCTCACTTTCTTTAGAGTTGTGATTGGGCAGATAATTGAGGTTGAATAGAGATGTTGACTGATTCAATTTCTTAATCTGCCCTTTCGTGACAGACCAATATAGCCAGCCACTGGTTCTCAAAATATGCTTATTTCTTACAATCGTATTACAGCCGGTGTTTACTTTTTTGCTGTACATTTTTTAATGGATTTATGATATTGAAAAACAAATGGGGCCTATCCGAGGATCAAATAGCTTATTACAGACATTAAAATTGAGAGTAGGTAGGATAAATAGGCCTAATTAGTAATATATAAATCTTTAATGAATATATATTTTTGCCTATCTGTTTAGGCATAGATTGTCAGGCTGCATTGCCAAATGAAGACCTTTTCATCTCTTTTTTTTTTAGTTTTCTTGAGTGTTGTTGTTGGGTTGAAATTCAGAACATTGCATAAAATTAAGCTAATTTCGGAATATATTTAATTGAGCATACTCTTAGAAAAAAGGGTTCCAAATGGGATCTTCGGCTGTCCCCATAGGATAACCCTTTTTGGTTCAAGGTAGAACCCTTTTTGGTTCAAGGTAGAAATATTTTGAGTTCCATGTAAAGCCCTCTGTGGAAAGGATTCTACTTTGAACCAAAGGTTTCTCCTATGGGGACAGCCGAAGAACCCTTTTAGGTTCTACATAGCACAATTTTTTCTAGGAGTGTACCACATCATTCTGCAAGTCGTGGCAACACGAGCCAATCCTTAAAAGTTTTCCCCATCTCATTTGTTGGAGTATTATTTCAACTCAATCATGCTATGTAGGCCAAGGCCTAATGATCGACTACCGTCCCATTGCCTCGGACTTAAGCATTAGACCATAAGAATTGCTGAAAGTAAAAGGAAATTGGTATATTAGGCCTAGACCCTGCCCTTGTCCAATAGACTACAACATGTAGGTTACGAGTAAATCGAAAAGTAGGCCTACAATTCAAAGTTAAGAAGGGACTGCACACCTTGACATAGCCTAGCCTAAGCAGCAGACATTGGAGCACTGTATAGGCTAGTAGGTGACTGTCAGTTAAGTAGCTAGCTAATCTTTCGTTTAACAGGCCTCAGGCCTATTCTTTGCCTTCAACGATGGAGCTAATCTCAGTATTGTATTGCGCTGTATTTTCTGTCGTATAGACGAACCCAGCCTTGGTGACTGTCTAGCTCTCGTTGTTCCTCCGCTAGGTCTGGAAAACTTATTGTAGGTCTACTTCCTCATTAGTTCAGATTGTCAGATGCATGAATGGGTTCAACATCTTTGGTTCAGGTCAGGGATGGGGGCATAACCTACTGTTATAACGAGTTTCTGCCCAGTCTCATGTCCTCCATAGCCTTCTGTTATAATGAGTTGCTGCCCAGTCTCATGTCCTCCATAGCCTTCTGTTATAATGAGTTGCTGCCCAGTCTCATGTCCTCCATAGCCTTCTGTTATAATGAGTTGCTGCCCAGTCTCATGTCCTCCATAGCCTTCTGTTATAATGAGTTTCTGCCCAGTCTCATGTCCTCCATAGCCTACTGTTTTAATGAGTTGCTGCCCAGTCTCATGTCCTCCATAGCCTTCTGTTATAATGAGTTGCTGCCCAGTCTCATGTCCTCCATAGCCTTCTGTTATAATGAGTTTCTGCCCAGTCTCATGTCCTCCATAGCCTTCTGTTATAATGAGTTTCTGCCCAGTCTCATGTCCTCCATAGCCTTCTGTTATAATGAGTTTCTGCCCAGTCTCATGTCCTCCATAGCCTTCTGTTATAATGAGTTTCTGCCCAGTCTCATGTCCTCCATAGCCTTCTGTTATAATGAGTTGCTGCCCAGTCTCATGTCCTCCATAGCCTACTGTTTTAATGAGTTGCTGCCCAGTCTCATGTCCTTTGCCTTCCTTATTACGCCTGTATGAAATGCAAGTGAAAGTCTGCACTTCCCACTATTTGCTGCCACCAAGTGAGATCTTTGTTTCAATTGATAACATTTCTGACCTCAAAGCTCAAAGAAATACCAGCCTTTTAAAACTAAAGCAGTGAGTGGACAACAGACATTCCCTTTATTTTCATTGCTTTGCTTAGGGCCTATATATGTACAAGCCATAACACATTCATAAGCATATTGACTGACATTTTAACGAAAACATCAACTTGCGGCTGTTGATTCATGTATGAATGTGTTTTATAGCCTATGGCTTATGAATGTGTTTTGTAATGATGTTCTTATGAACATGAGCTTCACATATGCCCAGCCAGCTACTGTGGCAGCCAGGTTTATGTGTCATAATAACCCCTCTCTTCGTGTGTCCTAGTCGTGGCAGTGAGGTGTAGCCATGGACACCAGCACCTCTCTGGCCATCCAGAGCCTGTTCAGCTACGTGGAGGAGGACAACGTGCCGGCCATCAAAGCCTACCTGGACAAGTTCAAGGAGGTGGACAGCAGGAGCGAAGTGAGTGATCAAAACAAATTGTATTTGTCACATGTGCCGAATACAACAGGTGTTGACCTTACAGTGAAATGCTTACTTACAAGCCCTTAACCAACAATGCAGTTTTAAGAAAAATAAGTTAAGTACAAAATAAAAACTAAGTAAAGAGCAGCAGTAAAATAAAATAACAGTAGGGAGGCTATATACAGGGAGTACCGGTACAGAGTCAATGTGGGGGGTTACAGGTTAGTCGAGGTAATTGAGGTAATATGTACATGTACGTAGAGTTAAAGTGACTATGCGTAGATAAGAAACAGAGTGTAGCAGCAGTGTAAAAGAGGGGGTGGGGGGGGAGGGGGAACAATGCAAATAGTCCGGGTAGCCATTTGAGTAGCTGTTCAGGAGTCTTATGGCTTGGGGGTAGAAGCTGTTAAGAAGCCTTTTGGACCTAGACTTGGCGCTCCGGTACCACTTGCCGTGCGGTAGCAGAGAGAACAGTCTATGACTAGGGTGGCTGGAGTCTTTGACAATTTTTAGGGCCTTCCTCTGAAACCGCCTGGTATAGAGGTCCTGGATGGCAGGAAACTTGGCCCCAGTGATGTACTGGGCCGTACGCTCTACCCTCTGTAGTGCCTTGCCGTCAGAGGCCGAGCAGTTGCCATACCAGGCAGTGATGCAACTAGTCAGGATGCTCTCGATGGTGCAGCTGGATAACCTTTTGAGGATCTGAGGACCCATGCCAAATATTTTCAGTCTCCTGAGGGGGAATAGGCTTTGTCGTGCCCTCTTCACGACTGCCTTGGTGTGTTTGGACCATGATAGTTTGTTGGTGATGTGGACACCAAGGAACTTGAATCTCTCAACCTGCTCCACTACAGCCCCGTTGATGAGAATGGGGGCGTGCTCGGTCCTCTTTTTCTTGTAGTCCACAATCATCTCCTTTGTCTTGATCACGTTGAGGGAGAGATTGTTATCCTGGCACCACACGGCCAGGTCTCTGACCTCCCTACAGGCTGTCTCATCGTTGTCGGTGATCAGGCCTACCACTGTTGTGTCGTTGGAAAACTTAATGATGGTGTTGGAGTCGTGCCTGGCCATGCAGTCATGGGTGAACAGGGAGTACAGGAGGGGACTGAGCACGCACCCTTGAGGGGCCCCCGTGTTGAGGATCAGCGTGACAGATGTGTTGTTACCTACCCTTACCACCTGGGGGCAGCCCGTAAGGAAGTCCAGGATCCAGTTGCAGAGGGAGGTGTTTAGTCCCAGGGTCCTTAGCTTAGTGATGAGCTTTGAGGGCACTATGGTGTTGAATGCTGAGCTGTAGTCAATGAATAGCATTCCCACGTAGGTGTTCCTTTTGTCCAGTTGGGAAAGGGCAGTGTGGAGTGCAATAGAGATTGCATCATCTGCAGATCTGTAGGGGCGGTATGGAAATTGAAGTGGGTATAGGGTTTCTGGGATAATGGTGTTGATGTGAGCCATGACCAGCCTTTCAAAGCACTTCATGGCTACAGACGTGAGTGCTATGGGTCGGTAGTGGTACCTTAGTCTCTGTGCCCAAGAACACTATGTTGGTCTGCTTGAAACATGTTGGTATTACAGACTTAGTCATGGACAGGTTGAAAATGTCAGTGAAAACATTTGCCAGTTGGTCAGCACATGCTCGGAGGACACGTCCTGGGAATCCGTCTGGCCCTGCAGCCTTGTGAATGTTGACCTGTTTAAAGGTCCTACTCACATCGGCTATGGAGAGCGTGATCACACAGTCGTCCGGAACAGCTGATGCTCTCATGCATGCTTCAGTGTTGCTTGCATAGCAGTAATTTAGCTTGTCTGGTAGGCTCGTGTCACTGGGCAGCTCGCGACTGTGCTTCCCTTTGTAGTCTGTAATAGTTTGCAAGCCCTGCCACATCCGACGAGCGTCGGAGCTGGTGTAGTGCGATTCAATCTTAGTCCTGTATTGACGCTTTGCTTGTTTGATGGTTCGTCCGAGGGCATAGCAGGATTTCTTATAAGCGTCCGGGTTAGAGTCCCGCTTCTTGAAAGCAGCAGCTCTACCCTTTAGCTCAGTGCGGATGTTGCCTGTAACCCATGGCTTCTGGTTGGGGTATGTACTTACGTTCACTGTGGGGACGACGTCATCAATGCACTTATTGATGAAGCCAGTGACTGATGCCATCGGAAGAATCCCGGAACATATTCCAGTCTGTTCTAGCAAAACAGTCCTGTAGCTTAGCATCTGCGTCATCTGACAACTTCTTTATTGACCGAGTCACTGGTGCTTCCTGCTTTAGTTTTTGCTTGTAAGCAGGAATCAGGAGGATATAATTATGGTCAGATTTGCCAAATGGAGGGCGAGGAAGAACTTTGTAAGCGTCTCTGTGTGTGGAGTAAAGGTGGTCTAGAGTTTTTTTCCCCTCTGGTTGCACATTTAACATGCTGGTAGAAACGAGGTAAAACGGATTTAAGTACATTAAAGTCCCCGGCCACTAGGAGCGCCGCCTCTGGATGAGCGTTTTCCTGTTTGCTTATGGCCTTACAGCTCATTGAGTGCGGTCTTAGTGCCAGCATCGGTTTGTGGTGGTAAATAGACAGTTACGAAAAATATAGTTGAAAACTCTCTTGGTAAATAGTGTGATCTACAGCTTATCATGAGATACTCTACCTCAGGCAGGCAAAACCTTGAGACTTCCTTAATATTAGATTTCGTGCACCAGTTACAGTGGGGAAAAAAAGTATTTAGTCAGCCACCAATTGTGCAAGTTCTCCCACTTAAAAAGATGAGGCCTGTAATTTTCATCATAGGTACACGTCAACTATGACAGACAAAATGAGAAAAAAAAATCCTGAAAATCACGTTGTAGGATTTTTAATGAATTTATTTGCAAATTATGGTGGAAAATAAGTATTTGGTCAATAACAAAAGTTTCTCAATACTTTGTTATATACCCTTTGTTGGCAATGACACAGGTCAAACGTTTTCTGTAAGTCTTCACAAGGTTTTCACACACTGTTGCTGGTATTTTGGCCCATTCCTCCATGCAGATCTCCTCTAGAGCAGTGATGTTTTGGGGCTGTCGCTGGGCAACACGGACTTTCAACTCCCTCCAAAGATTTTCTATGGGGTTGAGATCTGGAGACTGGCTAGGCCACTTCCAGGACCTTGAAATGCTTCTTACGAAGCCACTCCTTCGTTGCCCGGGCGGTGTGTTTGGGATCATTGTCATGCTGAAAGACCCAGCCACGTTTCATCTTCAATGCCCTTGCTGATGGAAGGAGGTTTTCACTCAAAATCTCACGATACATGGCCCCATTCATTCTTTCCTTTACACGGATCAGTCGTCCTGGTCCCTTTGCAGAAAAACAGCCCCAAAGCATGATGTTTCCACCCCCATGCTTCACAGTAGGTATGGTGTTCTTTGGATGCAACTCAGCATTCTTTGTCCTCCAAACACGACGAGTTGAGTTTTTACCAAAAAGTTCTATTTTGGTTTCATCTGACCATATGACATTCTCCCAATCCTCTTCTGGATCATCCAAATGCACTCTAGCAAACTTCAGACGGGCCTGGACATGTACTGGCTTAAGCAGGGGGACACGTCTGGCACTGCAGGATTTGAGTCCCTGGCGGCGTAGTGTGTTACTGATGGTAGGCTTTGTTACTTTGGTCCCAGCTCTCTGCAGGTCATTCACTAGGTCCCCCCGTGTGGTTCTGGGATTTTTGCTCACCGTTCTTGTGATCATTTTGACCCCACGGGGTGAGATCTTGCGTGGAGCCCCAGATCGAGGGAGAATATCAGTGGTCTTGTATGTCTTCCATTTCCTAATAATTGCTCCCACAGTTGATTTCTTCAAACCAAGCTGCTTACCTATTGCAGATTCAGTCTTCCCAGCCTGGTGCAGGTCTACAATTTTGTTTCTGGTGTCCTTTGACAGCTCTTTGGTCTTGGCCATAGTGGAGTTTGGAGTGTGACTGTTTGAGGTTGTGGACAGGTGTCTTTTATACTGATAACAAGTTCAAACAGGTGCCATTAATACAGGTAACGAGTGGAGGACAGAGGAGCCTCTTAAAGAAGAAGTTACAGGTCTGTGAGAGCCAGAAATCTTGCTTGTTTGTAGGTGACCAAATACTTATTTTCCACCATAATTTGCAAATAAATTCATTACAAATCCTCCAATGTGATTTTCTGGATTTTTTTCCCTCAATTTGTCTGTCATAGTTGACGTGTACCTATGATGACAATTACAGGCCTCTCTCATCTTTTTAAGTGGGAGAACTTGCACAATTGGTGGCTGACTAAATACTTTTTTTCCCCACTGTATACACAGACCGCCTCCCCTTGTCTTACCGGAGGCAGCGTTTCTATCTTGCCGATGCAGCGTATATCCCGCCAGCTATATGTTATCCATGTTGTTGTTCAGCCACGACTTGGTGAAACATAAGATATTACCGTTTTTAATGTCCCGTTGGAAGGATATTCGTGATCGTATTTCGTCTACTTTATTATCCTATAATTGTACGTTGGCTAATAGGACTGATGGTAGAGGCAGATTACCCACTCGCCATCGGATCCTTACAAGGCACCCATACCTACGTCCCTGATATCTGTCTCTTTCTCATGCGAATGATGGGGATTTGGGCCTTGTCGGGTGTCTGAAGAAAATCCTTTGCGTCTGACTTGTTAAAGAAAAAATATTTGTCCAGTACGAGGTGAGTAGTCGCTGTCCTGATATCAAGAAGCTCTTTTCGGTCATAAGAGATAGTGGCAGAAACATTATGTACAAAATAAGTTACAAATAACGTGAAAAAACACACACAATAGCACAACTGTTTGGGAGCCCGTAAAACGGCAGCCATCTCCTCCAGCGCCATTCTTCATAGGCACTGATTAAGTAAACATTAAAGGGGAAGTTCACCCATTTTTACATGTGGCCTTATTTTCATTCTTTCTGTGCTTGTAGTTGATCACTCAAACCATAAAATAAAATAAAACATTTGTTAGAGTCATCACTTGCCACTGACTACAATGCGTTATGAAAATGTTTCTAAGCATGTTATAAAATGCTCCAAAATACTCCAAACCAACTCATATTACATCAGAATCTCATTCTGGATAATGTCTCTGCACTCAATTTAGATTTTTTCCCCCCATTGTCCAATAAATCCATATTTGCATATTTTTTGTTGTTGTTGTAAACAGCATCATTCAAACATGGATTTATGGCACAGTGGGAAAAAAATTAAACATTTAGCGCAGAGACATTATCCAGAATGAGATTATGATGTAAAATGTTGTTGTAAACAGCATCATTCAAACATGGATTTATGGCACAGTGGGAAAAAAATTAAACATTTAGCGCAGAGACATTATCCAGAATGAGATTATGATGTAAAATGAGTTGGTTTGGAGGGTTTTGGAGCATTTTATAACATGCTTTAGACACATTTACATAATGCATTGCAATCAATGGCAAGTATTGACTCAGCAAAATGTGACAACCAATTTTCTCTGAAATGAAACCAAATATAAAAAAACAGTTTTTGGGATCAACTACAAGCACAGAAAGAGACAATATAAGGCCACATGTAAAAATGGGTGAACTTCCCCTTTAACATTGTCACAATGAAGAGTTCAGCCACTAGCATGTGTGACATGCACGCCCAGTTACAAGCATGCTAGTAGAGTTTGCTGCAGGTGGACCAGCAATAATACACCGTTGTAGTATGGATGAAGCCTGAGCTGGAATGTGAAGCTAACTGAAGCTGGTTAGCTTTAGAAAACCCAGAGTAGATCTAGCTTGCTTCGTAGGATACCCTATCCATTATTAGGAACACATGTTATTTAAGATTTTCAAACAGGTATTTTAAATCCTGGGTGCTGATTTTGTTTTTTAGACAGGCAGCCCAATTCTGATATTTATTTCTGAAAATGAGCTGATGTGTGAAGATCTGATGTGATGTCTCCTCAGAATGGTCAGACTCCCCTGATGGTGGCATCGGAGCAGGGCAGCCTAGAGATGGTCCAGGAGCTCCTCAGGAGGGGAGCCAACGTCAACCTGGACGACGTGGTAAACAGACATGCATACACACACACAGACGCGCATACACACACGCACACACACAACAAATGGTAGTTAGACCATGGCTTTGAGGTTTGGTGTCGTGTGAGTTTTAGACCCAAAACTTTTCCAACCACACACCTACACTCAGGAAAGGGAGGGTAAGTCTCCTCGGAACACGTCAGATTTAGGTTGCTAAAGGTACATAGTCAAAACCATTGTTCAACCCTGATATGCACCACAATTCCAACAGAATACAATACCACATGAGGTTAACATTTGGTCATTTTAGCCACATTATTCAGACATGGCATAGAGGTCTTCACTGCCCAATAATCCCTTAGTATCCAGCCTGCTGAACTCACCACACTGTGGGTGGGTTAATACAGAGCCCCATAATGAACACCTGTAGATGGCCTCAGGCCTCAGTTAGAATAAAGTACAGGGTGTAGAGCTGCTGTCTCCATCAACACACCCACCCTCAACCTCTTACTAAACCTCGCGCACACGCACACACACACACACACTCACCCACCCTCAACCTCTTACTAAACCTCACGCACACACACACACACACACACACTCACCCACCCTCAACCTCTTACTAAACCTCAAACACACACACACACACACACACTCAGACTCTCACTACACACGACTGAGTGAGACTGACCAGACCTGGGCACTGTCTCTCTCTCTCTCTTTTACTCTCTCTCTTTCTTTTCTCTGTCTGACACTAACTTTCACCACCCTGCATCCATGAGCACCTGGTACGACCAGCTGGTAGGTACAATACTGTGGAGCGGATTAATACAGACCGGACCCACAACCCTCTGATTGGTGGTGGTCCACGGCGACGACGACGTGATTGGAGTTTCCGTGGTGACCCAGTGTAACCCCTGTGTGTTCTGCCCGTCAACAGGACTGCTGGACGGCGCTGATCTCGGCGGCTAAAGAGGGCCATGTGGAGGTGGTGAAAGAGCTGCTGGCCAACAATGCCAGCCTGGAGCACCGGGACATGGTGAGAGAGGGGAGGGGAGGGTGGGTACTGGGTGTTGGGCAGAGACATTGGAAACAGTAAAGCTTTTGAACCTGTGTGTAACATTTCTGTTGAAAGACTAGTTTGATTGAAAAAGCTAGGAAAAACATCTTTAGATAGAGATGAAAGGATGATTATGCTTGATTTGGCCTTCTTTTTCTGGATACTAATGTATTTTGAGAAGCTTTCATGTCTAAAACATTCTGGGGTGAAGAAGGTAGCTTACGTGTCCGGCACAGCAGTGTATCTGTCATGAATAGTATCCATAGGATATTCCGTATGAGACCTAGAATACCTGAATGCTGATTGGTTAAAACCGCAGACTACAACACAATACAATACTTGCATTATTGGTCCATTTGCACGGATATTCTTTATTTTTTGCTGTCACACTACCAGACCTGACACACAACAGTAGAACTAGTTTCTTCACATTCTTCTTTTGTATGTGTCACTGCAATCCATTCCAGGCTGCTTTGAAGTGATTCATCCGTTAGCTTCGGACACGATTCCATTAGCTTCAATATGATCTCCTCCATTTTGTAATAATTGCATTTTGTGAGCGCTGGATGTCTGGAGTACATTAACCTGGTTAATAACTGTAATCCAAACCTCTCAGTGCAGGAAAGCCCACTTCATGTCCTGCAGTATCTATCCACAGTTCTGTGTTCATTCACAATTCACAGTAGAGTTCCTAGTCAAGGCTATTCTAAATGCCTTGTTTTTACAATATGCCAATGAGAGAGATTAGCATTTTTGTACACCTCCGCAAATGAAAGCATTCCGAGAGTGATATTTAAGCAGCATTGGGGGGTGGGGGTAATGGAGAAAAGACTAATGACTGTTTGTTCATTATGAGTGTCGTCATGACCAAAGCTTTCTCACTTAAGCTACATTTTACCTTCTGAAATGTGCTATTTTCATTTCATATTTTTTATTTAGTGGACTTGTTCTAGTGTAAGGTGACAGAGGCCATCAGTCATGGTAGTGTTAGGTGCCAGCCTGTCTGGACTAATAACAGTATTAAACCCACTGTGTGGCTACGTACACGTCGTGCTATATGACCTCTCTCTCTCTCTCTCTCTCTCTCTCTCTCTCTCTCTCTCTGTCTCTGTCTCTGTCTCTGTCTCTGTCTCTGTCTCTGTCTCTGTCTCTGTCTCTCTCTCTCTGTGTTTTACTGTACAGGGGGGATGGAGTGCCCTCATGTGGGCTTCCTATAAGGGTCGTGTGGAGGTGGCCCAGCTGCTGCTGGGTAAAGGAGCTAGCCCCAACATCACTGGCCAGGTACTATTCCTATATAAAGAGCTTTAGACCTTGTATTCATTCATAAATTAAAGAACATACTGTAATAATTAGGTACTGTATATCATTAGTGTATTACAGTGTTAGTTAAATATGCTAATGTCTGTCCTTCCAGTACAGCGTCTACCCTATCATCTGGGCAGCCGGACGAGGCCATGCTGAGATCGTCCATCTCCTGATTAAGCATGGCGCTAAAGTCAACTGCTCTGACAAAGTACGCACACAGACACATACTCACCACTGGTTCTGTCTATACAAAAATTACTTTTAAAAAGCAACCTAAAGTAAGTTAGGATCTTATTTAAACTATGCCTACTAAATGACCCTACTTAAGGTGTTTCAATAATCATCAATGCTTTCTCTTTTCTTTTCTTTTCTTTTCTTTCTTTCTCCCCTGTTCTCAGTATGGCACTACCCCGTTGATCTGGGCAGCCAGGAAGGGCCACTTTGAAAGTGTGATGCACCTGCTGGTCAATGGGGCTGATGTGGACCAGGAGGGAGCGGTAAGTGGACCTCCCTACTCTCATTAAAACTCCAGTATATCCCTATACGGTCACAAACAATAGTTTGGCCCTTCACAACGACTCACTAAAGGCTCACACAAGACAGGTGTTTATTTGCTATTGTCACCAAACAAGTTCAGTATTGTTAGAGGTTCTGGTTGATACGTCTGACTACACTCTCAGTTAAACGAGGCCTTGTCTAATAAAGTCAGTGTTTCCAGATGATATTCCCAGTCATACCACTTGGAAGCATTGTGCAAATCAGACTGTTATTCTCCCCCTATCAGCATTCTGCTAAATCACTCAAATCAGACTGTTATTCTCCCCCTATCAGAATTCCATGACAGCTCTGATTGTGGCGGTGCGGGGTGGTTTCAATGAGGTGGTGAAGGAGCTTCTGAAGAGGAACCCCAACGTCAACATGACAGACAAGGACGGCAACACAGCCCTGATGATTGCTGCCAAGGAGGGCTACACTGAGATAGTGCAGGACCTGCTGGACGCTGGCACCTACGTCAACATACCAGACAGGGTAGGTGACAACAACACAGACTGTATACTATAGACTATAGGTAGGTAGAGATACATACTGTAGGTAAAGATGGGTAGTTTAAAGGAGGGCCAACATACCAGACAGGGTAGTCAACCATCACCACCCACTAAAGATGAGCTAAAACGTTGTCCTGACAACCCTGACAACCCTGCCAATACACAGAGTAGAGTCTAGACAGGATTATATCAACCTGAATGATAAAGGTCATGCTATATGGATAAATGTGCTGATGTTAATAGTATCATCAGCTGCTCTACAGTATAGTCTATTTTCTCTGTTGTGTGATGATTCAGTGTGTGTTCTCTGTAGTGAAAGCCTGTGATGTTTCATTTGTGTGTCACACAGAGTGGGGAGACAGTGCTGATTGGAGCAGTGCGAGGAGGACATGTGGAGATCGTCAGAGCCCTTCTGAACAAATACGCCGACATTGACGTCAGGGGACAGGTAAGAGTCTCTCTAATGTGACCCATACGCATTGTTAAAGGTCCAATGCAGCCGTTTCTATCTCAATATCAAACTATTTCTGGGTAACAATTAAGTACCTTACTGTGATTGTTTTCAATGAAAATGGTTGAAAAGAAACAAAAACAGCTTCTTAGCAAAGAGCAATTTCTCAAACAATAATTTAGCTAGGACTTTCTGGAAGTGGTCTGAGTGGGGATGGGAAAACAGAAAACTAGCTGTTATTGGCAGAGAGGTTTGGAACTCTCTTTCTTATTGGTCTATTAACTAATTTACCGACTAGTGATTTCACCAGGCAGGCCAAAACTCCATCCCACCAAAACAGGCTAAAAGATTTAGGCGTTCTTTTCAAACAGCTCTTACACTAAAAGGGCATTATCATAATTGTTAAAATTTTACAGTATTATTTCAACCTCATATTGTGGAAATATATATAAAACACAGGAAATTCTCATTTTTGACTGCACTGGGCCTTTAACATTTATTTGATCTATCATCATGCTAATACTGGTCCTATTCATTACGGCACACTGTAGCAAAAGTTTTACAATGGAAAACAAAAACAAGCGTTTCTTATTGGATATGTTCAGGTAATCCCTCCCTGTTTCTGTCAGTTTTGTTCCGTTTGGTGCCTGTTATTCGCTATTCACTGTGTATTTATTCCACGTGTCACTAGTTCTATTTTTTATCTTTAACTCTGCATTGTTGGAAAAGGACCTGTAAGTAGGCATTTCACTGTTAATCTACACCGGTTGTTTACCAAGCAAGTGACAAATAACATTTGATTTGATTTAATGAATAAGACCATGTTCTCAATTGTGTTAAACAGGACAGTAAGACTGCTCTCTACTGGGCGGTGGAGAAAGGGAATGCCACCATGGTGAGAGACATCCTCCAGTGCAACCCGGACACTGAGAGTTGCACCAAGGTAAGGAACAGTCACAGCTGCTATACATTAATTAACAGTCATTTTATAGCACAATGACAAATTCTTCACTTGAAATTCTATACATTGTGATAAATGTATCCTTGTTTCAAAATGTTTTTTTCACAAGAGTCATTACAGTTGCAAATAAACCTTTGCTTGCTTATATTCTCACCAATCACTGTTCTTGGTCTGAGATGATGATGATGATGATGATGTGTGTTTCAGGATTCAGAGACCCCTCTGATCAAAGCCACCAAGATGAGGAACATTGAGATAGTGGAGCTGCTCCTGCACAGAGGGGCCAAGGTGGCTGCTGTAGACAAGGTACTGGAGAAACACAACGTCTTTACAATATCATCACAGGTTCTGGAGTCAAGCCAAATCATTTAATTGTTGTCAGTTTGCTTTTCACAAGACTGTTTGAGATGAAAAGTTAAATGGAAGTTAAATGTTCTTGACATTTGAATGATCTTACTGTTTTATGTCTGTCAATGTCTGATGTGTGACCGCCAAATATATATCCTCATTGTGTGTGACTATAAAGTTTCTCTACTCTACTGTACTCTAATCATCTCTCTCCTCTACTCTACTCTAATCATCTCTCTCCTCTACTCTACTGTAATCACCTCTCTCCCCGACTCTACTGTAATCATCTCTCTCCCCGACTCTACTGTAATCATCTCTCTCCCCGACTCTACTGTAATCATCTCTCTCCCCTACTCTACTGTAATCATCTCTCTACTCTACTGTAATCATCTCTCTCCCCGACTCTACTGTAATCACCTCTCTCCCCGACTCTACTGTAATCATCTCTCTCCCCGACTCTACTGTAATCACCTCTCTCCCCGACTCTACTGTAATCATCTCTCTCCCCTACTCTACTGTAATCATCTCTCTCCCCGACTCTACTGTAATCATCTCTCTCCCCGACTCTACTGTAATCACCTCTCTCCCCGACTCTACTGTAATCACCTCTCTCCCCGACTCTACTGTAATCACCTCTCTCCCCGACTCTACTGTAATCATCTCTCTCCCCGACTCTACTGTAATCACCTCTCTCCCCGACTCTACTGTAATCATCTCTCTCCCCTACTCTACTGTAATCATCTCTCTCCCCGACTCTACTGTAATCACCTCTCTCCCCGACTCTACTGTAATCATCTCTCTCCCCGACTCTACTGTAATCACCTCTCTCCCCGACTCTACTGTAATCACCTCTCTCCCCGACTCTACTGTAATCACCTCTCTCCCCGACTCTACTGTAATCACCTCTCTCCCCGACTCTACTGTAATCACCTCTCTCCCCGACTCTACTGTAATCACCTCTCTCCCCGACTCTACTCTGCTCTGCTCTACTCTGCTCTAATAATCTCTACTCTAATCATCTATACTCTACTCATCTCTCTCTCACCGTGTCCAGAAAGGAGACACAGCTCTTCACATTGCCATCAGAGGGCGGAGCCGCAAGCTGGCTGAGCTCCTCCTGAGGAACCCAAAAGATGGCCGCCTGCTCTACCGGCCCAACAAGGCCGGCGAGACGCCCTACAACATCGACTGCACCCACCAGAAAAGCATCCTCACCCAGATATTTGGAGCCAGTGAGAAATGATACTTTATCACGAAGACAGACCGATATCGTCTACAAGTACTCTAGTGTTGAATTTGAACCTGTTATTATGAAAGAAATTATAACATTCAACTGCTATTATTTAAGTCACCTGTTAATATTAATCATTACTCTGAAGGTTTAGCTCGCTCACTCTTATTTTGGATAAATTGTGGTATTTATCAAGTTATGACCACTCACACTCTCCCCCTCTCTCTCTCTCTCTCTCCGTTCCCTTCTCTCTGTCTCTCTCCCTCCCCCTATCTCTCAGAGCACCTGTCTCCTTCTGAGTCTGACGGTGACATGCTGGGGTATGATCTGTACAGCAGTGCCCTAGCAGACATCCTCAGTGAGCCCACCATGCAGCCGCCTATCTGTGTGGGCCTGTACGCCCAGTGGGGCAGCGGCAAGTCCTTCCTGCTCAAGAAACTGGAGGGTAAGAGAGGACCTGTTTTTGTTTCAGCTGAAGCGTCTCAAAGCGCTCATGTAAAAATAAGAAAATACTTTTCACTACTACAACAGCAATATCAATCTAAAAGTGAACATGTCAGCCTATTTAGTAAAGTTCTGGACATTACCTGTACAATGTGTTTAATTTTTACTCAGTCCCAGTTCTCTGCCTTAGTGCCTCATTTGTAGGTCCCCATGTTAGGCAGGACCAGCTAAAGGCCCTAACTAATTTGCATTTGCCTATTCTTATGTATAACCTGCTCCCCCCCCCCTCCTACAGATGAGATGAAGAATTTTGCGGGCCAGCAGATTGAACCTCTGTTCCGGTTCTCCTGGCTGGTGGTGTTCCTCACCCTGCTGCTGTGTGGCTCTGTAGCTCTGGTCCTGGGCTTCACAGTCGACTCCCGCCTGGCCGTCGCCGTCTCCCTCAGCCTCCTCGCCCTGCTCTACGTCTTCTTTGGTGAGAAACACTAGAATAGAATGGAGTGGAAGACGATCATATTTTGTAGAGTAGAGATGCTTGTAGAGTAGAGTAGAGTGGATCGGAAGAGAATAGTATAGAATAGAATGGGTAAAATAAGTTTAGGCCCTAGCCTGGGTGTTCTGCAGTTAGGGAAAGTTGCACGTATTATATCACTAGAGGGCGCCATTGGTCTGTTAGTTTTGAGAAGTCGTACAGTGTTTCACTAAATAAAACTACATTTTTAAGGTTCTAGCCACTGGATGTCAACGTAGGTGGGTGAAAGTCTGATGGTCAATCAGAAATATTATGTATTCTTCTCTCTCTCGGTCTCGCTCTCTCTCGGTCTCGCTCTCTCTCGGTCTCGCTCTCTCTCTAGTGTTGGTGTATTATGGGGGTCATCGTGAGGGGGAGAACTGGAACTGGGCGTGGGTCCTCAGTACCCGTCTGGCCCGTCAGGTGGGCTACCTGGAGCTACTTCTTAAACTCATGTTCGTCAACCCCCCCGAGCTCCCTGAGCAGACCACCCGCGCCCTGCCTGTCAGGTAATACACACACGCATATAAACACTTACACCTTGATGTGTACGGCCTTGAATAGAAAAATAATATTCAATTAACCTTGTGTGTGTCAGGTTCCTGTTCACAGACTACAACCGTTTGTCAAGTGTGGGAGGAGAGACGTCTATGGCAGAGATGATAGCCACTCTGTCTGACGCCTGTGAGAGGGAGTTTGGCTTCATGGCCTCCCGCCTCTTCAGGGTGTTCAAGAACGAGGAGAACCAAGGTACTGCCTTCTGTATCCACTTTGGACATCCTTTAGAACCTTGTCTTATTACCTCTGTCAAAATAAAATGTTATTTGTCACATGCGCCGAATACAACAGGTGTAGACCTTACTGTGAAATGCTTACTTACAAGCCCTTTACCAACAATGCTGTTCAAGAAATAGAGTTAAGAAAATATTTACTAAATAAACTAAAGTAGAAAACAAAATAATAATAACACAATAAAATATCAATAACGATAGCGAGGCTAAATACAGGGGGTACCGGTACCGAGTCAGTGTGCGGGGGTACAGGTTAGTCAAGGTAATTTGTACATGTAGGTAGGGGTAAAGTGACTAGGTAGGGGTACAGTCAGTGTTAATGTGGCTGTCATTGGCCTCATGTCTTTTGTCTGTCTACTGGAAGGGCGTAGTTATTTCCCTATAATGCATAGGGCTATGACGATACCAGTATCGCAATATTTTTTCCATGGCAAAAAATGTAACATGAAGCAGACCAAACTCTTTGGTCCTTTAAAAACCTGCTGTGTGTAAAATATTGTGTGCTATAGCTTGGAGAATAAATACATGTGACTCTGGATGACAACATAATGATGTTTGTTTCTAACGTTAGGGCTGTTTCCCTAAATAAGTTACATCCGTTTTGTGTTTTGTTTCCTTGCCACGATACTAACAAGTATCGCAATACTGGTATCGTCCCGGCCCTAATAATGCACACTCTGTCATGCATTTTGGCTTCCATAATCCCCCCCAGGTAAGAAGTGGAAGAAGACGTGCTGCGTGCCCAGCTTCATGCTGTTTGTTGTGACTCTGGGCTGCCTGATCACAGCCATGGCGCTGCTGGCCATCTTCAAGGTACCTACATACACACACACACCATGTCAAGTATGTGCAGTAATGTGTGTGTGACTCAGGTCTGTGTATGATTCCCCTGTACATGAAAAAAACAAACAAATTGAAAACGACTTTTTGAGTGCGGACCTTATTTATTTTTGATGAAGGTGCAGCATGACAACCTGAAGGTGAACGCGGTGCTGATCGCCATGGCCAGCATGGTGGGCATGGCCCTACTGTTGAACTGTAGGACCTGGTGGCAGGTGGCTGACTCCGTCCTCAACTCTCAGAGAAAGAGGCTGCACAGCGCTGCCAACAAGATGCACAAGCTCAAGAGTGAGGGCTTCATGAAGGTAGTGTAAATACTCTTATTATTTTTACTGGGGCAGTCCCACTCCTCACAAATGTTTAGTTACATGATAATGTTAGACGCTTAGGAGCTCAATGTAAAAAAAAAAAAAGAAGAGATAAACTGTGTTTTTAATTGGAAGCAATCATCTGCAATATGTCTGTATGTAGTGATTGATGAAGTGTGTGTGTTTGGTTTCTCCATGCCAGGTGTTGAAGCAGGAGGTGGAGCTGATGTCGAAGATGGCCAAGACCATCGACGGCTTCACCCAGAATCAGACCCGCATGGCGGTCATCATTGACGGCCTGGATGCTTGCGAACAGGACAAAGTGCTGCAGATGCTCGACACGGTGTGTGTGTGCCTGTGCTGTGTGTATCGGTTTGTAACAATGGCTACATGACAAAACACACATGACCTATTACCACCCAGGGTTAAAGGTGCTACACAGAAGATTTTTACATGTAATTTTTACATTGTAATTTCAGACAATTTCCATAATATATCTGCGGTAATAGTGGAATGGTAGTGTTTCACAGTTACTTAGTCGCCAGTGTTGCGATTTTCGCCTATTGATTTCTCCCACCTGAGCGGCATCTGTTGTCAAAATGGGAAAGCTGTTTTGACTTTGTGGCTGTGTTATCTACTGGAAATGGCTGTCATGTCCTAGTTGCTAAAAGTCTACACTGTTCGCTCAATTTCAGTTTATGTGAGAAAACAAACAATGAATACTGTAGGGAATCATTGTACCATCTAAATCACTGTGAAATATCTTGCAATTCACCTAGCACTAGGCTGCATTTAAAACAAATCGCCCCCTCCCCCGCATCCCATTTCCCGGTAAAATGGCGGAGATTCGCGCTTAAGCCGTTTACTTTCGGTTTTGGTCCACCAGCTTCAAACAGCTGTAAAAACGATATTTGCTATTATTGAAAATGTATTTCACAGCAATTTAGATGGTACAATGATTCCCTACACTAGTCAGTGCTTGTTTTCTCACATAAACTGAAACAGATGCAGCTCTGGCGGGAGAAATCAATAGGCGAATATCACAGCCAACACTGGCAGGTAAGTAATACTGTGAAACACTACCCTTCCACTATTACTGCAGATATATTATGGATATTTTCTGAAATTACAATGCAAAAATTCCAAAAATATCCTATGTGTAGTACCTTTAAGTCATTACCCATAACCACCCAGGGTTAAGTCATTACTCATAACTACACATGGTTAAGGCATTACCCATAACCACCCAGGGTTAAGTCATTTCCAATGACTCATTGGAAATTAACCATTGGCACCAAAGTCAAACTCATGGGGAAAAAGTGCCTATAGAGTCGTAAAATAACATATTACCATGATTTAGCTTTCAAAGCCTCTTTCACAAAGTACAAATAGTATTGACTATGGACACAAAGCACATATACAGTAGCCACCCCCTTTAACCCTCCGCCCCCTTTAACCCTCCGCCCCCTTTAACCCTCCGCCCCCTTTAACCCTCCGCCCCCTTTAAAGGCTCCACTTAGTTCAAATTCCTCTTCCCAGCTGTGGTAATATAATTTCCTCCTGCTAAATGTTATTATTTGGGGACAAGTAAATCCCCTAGTAGTTCAACAGCCTCCTGTGTGCTAATGAAATCTTCTGTGCGAACCAACCAGCGCCTCCTTCCCAGCTAACTCGCAAATGCCCCATTTGTGGCACAAATTAACCAACGAGGCCCTCTTAAATTCTCATCTTTTTGTTTCTGATTTTGATACGAATATTAGCAGATTAAATTTTTCAGTAAACTAAATATTTTTCCATTTGTTAATGCAGATAGATATATGTATGATCTAACAGTGCTATATTCATATGATGAGTACATGGATATGAAGAGGTACAGAAGGAGTGATGATCAGCTATAAGTGAATTACAGGGCAAACTCAGTATAAGTCAATAGTTGTTTGGCTGCGGACACACACACAAACACACACACACACACACACACACACCGCCCGAGGGTGGTCACTGTAGCTAATAGACTGTAAATAAAGCACAAATCAGGATCCTGTGACACTTGGACGATGTCTCTCATCATCAGCTTGGAAAGTCCCACTTTGTGTGCTGTCTGTTGACCATCAGGTCTCACAACAGTCATTTAGAGAGACTAGTAGTAGGGAGTCTCCCCAGTGGAACTGTTGTTGCATGCGCCTTACAAACAAAATGTGATCAACAGAAATGTGATCAACAGGAATGTGATCAACAGAAGCCCACAAACTAACAAGAAACTACAAATGGTGGACACAGTTGACAGATATTAAGAAGGTGATGTCAAGTAGTTTTCACCAGTCATGCTCAATGGATTTCAGGCTTTTATCATTCCAAATCAGTATACTACAGATGATCACAGTAGTGAATGCACCCAGGGCCCGTATCCACAAAGCTTCTCAGAGTAGGAGTGCTGATCTAAGATCAGTTAAACTTTTTAGATCATAATGAATAAGATTATATGGCCAGATGAGGACCTGATCCTAGATCAGCACTCCTACTCTTGAGAGGCTTTGTGGATATGGGTCTAAATCTTCCTGCTATTCCCTCCCTCCACCAGGTGAGGGTGCTGTTCTCCAAAGGCCCATTCATCTCTATTTTCGCCAGCGACCCCCACATCATCATCAAGGCCATCAACCAGAACCTGAACAGCGTGCTAAAGGACTCCAACATCAACGGCCACGACTACATGAGGAACATTGTCCACCTGCCTGTCTTTCTCAACAGCCGGGGCCTTAGCACCACCAGGAAGCTGTGCATGGCCACCCCCACTCCCAACGGAGACCTGGTCAACCCTGAGGGTACGCAAGACATATGCATAGGCGGGCCTGCAGGAATGCACACACGCACACACACACACACACACACACACACACACACACACACACACACAAAATCACACAATCACTATGGGTTTCATTAGGTTACGGCTCTAACATTCTATCTTGCTATGATTCAGTAGGAAATAGGAATCATGTAATGTGTTCACTGAATAGGTTGATTCTTTAAATCAGGTGTTGTGATGAGATATCCCTTGATTGTCCTGTCTCTTTCTTTCTCTCTCTCTCCCCTCCTCTCTCGCTCCTTTTCCACTCCTCTCTTCACAGGATGGCATGAGGAGATGGACAGGAAGCTGTCCTCGAACAGTCTGGCGGATCAGGCCAAGTTTGGCAGCAAGACGGCCCTCAACCGCAGAGTAAGCTCTTCCAGCCATCCACCCCTCTCTCCCCTATCTGTCTATTCATACCAAGGCTAGACCATAGATCTCCCTGCAGAGGTCCTGTAGAGGTCTCTCCCTGCAGAGGTCCTGTAGAGGTCTCTCCCTGCAGAGGTCCTGTAGAGGTCTCTCCCTGCAGAGGTCCTGTAGAGGTCTCTCCCTGCAGAGGTCCTGTAGAGGTCTCTCCCTGCAGAGTTCTGGCACAAAGACAAGTGATCCAACAAGGAGCCTGAGGAGATTGGTCATCTGTCCTGGCAATGAAAGCTCAGTGAAATACCTCTGAAGTGGTGCAGAAGTTTATTTTCTCATAGACACAGATGGAGAGGACTAACATAGAACGGGTGAGATGATGCACCAAATCCCACAGGCACAGGGGCCTAGCTAGATTCCTCCTGCCTTGTGCTGAACATAGCAGAGAGGGGTGGAGGAGCAAAAGAGCCAGTGTCTGTGTCTCCGTTGTGGAGGAGTCTCTGCCTGGTAATTGAAGCAATGTCTGTTTATCCTTCCTGCTGCGATGCCACACTTCCTAATGGCAGGGAGGAGCAGCAGTGGGTCCCGGTGACAAAACGCTGGCACCCGTGGCTGCAGGCGGGAGGCTAAGTGGCTCTGCCTCCTTCCCCTTGCGAGGACCACATTTAGTTTGTTTGTTTGGGTGCCTGGTTTATTTCCCTTTTTTCTTTCTTTTTGTTATTTTATTTGGGTCCTTTTTTATTTCGGGGCACGCTTCTTTTTGTTGGCCCTCTCGTCGGTTGCCAGGAAGCAGTGAGGGGCTCTCTTTACAAGCGGCGCTAAAAAGGATTGATGGAAGGAGGATGGAGGGAGGGAGAAAAAAAGCTCTCTGTCTCTCAGCTGCTTAATTGCAGAGTTGTGGATCTTTAGCCAAGTCTATCTTTACAAGATGGCAGGGGAGGCCAGCTCAGGCTTGTAAACAATATGGGCGTTTGGCTCTGGCCTGATGTGAACAAATGTGATCAAAGTTAGCTTGATGTGAACAAAGTAAGTTTGCTTGTTTGGTGGCTTTTCATGATCAAAATTCAACAATTGCTCCTGATAGTCTGGTTATTCAGAAAAAAACTATAAATAAAATAACTATAATACTATCAACTTTCACCAATCATATTCCATTTTTGAGCATGTCCAAAACATCTAAGTTAGGATCAAAGGAGAGCTAATCACTCTCCTCCTTACTGATCCAATACTGACTTATAACTGGCCAGACACTCACTCCCTCTTCCGGTCCGGTGAGGTCAGTCAGCTTATTGGTGGTGGTGTTCTGAGGAGCTTTCTCCTATTGTAACCACTGCTGTACTGTTCAGAAATCAGCACCTATTGTGGTCCTGCAGATACAGCATTCCACTCATTTTGGATTGACAGAAAATCCAGAAAGAAGTGATATGTATCCTCATAGTTTAATGAACCACAAGTACAACACTATGTGGATGTCACGCCTACTCCCGCTCCGGCTCTCGACGTCGCCGGCCTACTAACCACCGGTCCTGGCAACCCACATTACACACACCTGGCAACCATCATTGCACACACCTGGACTTCATCATCACCCTGATTTACTCTCCTTTTATTTAGCCCTCAGTAGCCTCAGTCTTCAGGCAGTATTGGTTTTGTTTACGTTCAGCACGCTACTCCTGTTTTGATTATCTTCATGTCTCTTATTATTAAACTCACCTTCTGCACCTGCTTCCTGACTCCCTGTGTACACGTTACAGTGGACCCCAGGAAGTGCAGCTGTTGCTATTGTAACAGCTAGTGGGGATCCAAATACACTAATACACTTTTGTCTAACTGCGTAAGGAAAGTTACTCTGTCTTACTGTGGACTAGATGAGCAAAATAGTCATCTCCTATCTAATGGCTCTACGTCAGTAGCACACAGTGCATTTCTGTGTCCAACACGGGACATTCCAGTTGATCTCCCTGTTAATTGGGCTCAGTAACAGATGCCCTTGTGTGTTAGTGGGTTAGGGATGGGCGGAGTGGTGAAATAAGGAAGGATGGAGAGAGTGTGGGAAGAAGGAAGGATGGAGAGAGTGTGGGAAGAAGGAAGGATGGAGAGAGTGTGGGAAGAAGGAAGGATGGAGAGAGTGGGAAGAAGGAGAAAAAGACAGCTAATGTAAGACTAGAGGTCACACACATGGTCACATGATACACTGCACAGGGTGATGATGCCATCATGAGATGGTCACCCACTCGGTCACAGGGTCACGTAAAATGTAGAGCACAGGACAGGTCAAACAAGGCCAACACTAATTATATAATGTGCCACAAACTAAGAAAAACACTCACTAAGGATTGTGGAAAGGCCAAGGGGATTTACAAACAGTATAAAGATCTGAGGTCTCCTCTGTGTGTAGGACACGTACCGCAGGAGGCAGATTCAGAGGACCGTCACCAGACAGATGTCCTTCGACCTGACCAAGCTGTTGGTCACTGAGGACTGGTTCAGTGACATCAGCCCCCAGACCATGAGAAGGCTGCTCAACATCGTCTCTGTCACAGGTAATATATTCCATTTATCAGACATATAGGTGGCCCCGGGAATCAAACCCACAACCCTGGCGGTGCAAGTTCCATGCTCTACCAACTGAGCCATACAGGTAACAAGTCACCTATTAGATTACCTATGACCTTTTATATTACCCAAGGACGGAGGGGTGTGCTACCAGCATGGCACTTATAAGCGTTATTAGTCGCTTAGGGGTGGCCAACCTTCGTACTTGATAGCCACTAGGTGTGCATGATTTTGTTCCAGTCCTGCTCTAACACAATGGCTTCAGCTAATCAAGGTAGTCCTGATGAGCCGCTGATTAGTAGAAGTGGGTGTGTTACAGCAGGCCAGGAACAAAAGCCTGCACACAGAGTCCCTCCACTCTCAGAGAAACTGTCGCTGACATCTCATTGGGTGTGATATGTCCAGGTCGTCTGCTGAGGGCCAATCATATCATCTTTAACTGGGACCGCCTGGCGTCGTGGATCAACATGACGGAGGAGTGGCCCTATAGGACCTCCTGGCTCATCCTCTTCCTGGAGGAGACCGACGGCATCTCAGACCAGGTCACCCTGAAGACCATCTACGAGAGGTACATACACACACATCTGCACTCAAACAAGCATGCATGCACAGGCAGACACACACAAGCAGACGTGCAGACACTCACGTTTAAGATCTATTTCTGGTTCCTTTTACACCACACACGCCAAGGTTTCCGTTAGGAAAATGTGGCGCCGGACATGTGACAACTTGACCAGACCCGTATGCATTGGGTGCAGAACCTCATTAGGGTGTCAAACCAACGGTGCTCAGAATGACAGGAATCACATTTAGATAACAGTAAATTATCTTAACAGAACATGCAACTCCAGGATGCATCCTTCTTACCGAATTCCGATGCGCACTTTGAAGATATTACAATAACTGTCCACATTTACTTTTCCTCAGTGAACAAGACAAGTAACGAACAGCAAAATCACTAGTCTATGTCAATCTATTATCCCCCATAGTAGAAAAGTGTACCTATTCTATTGGTCAGCTTGTCTTTCTGTACGAGAAAGAAATGGCCTATTCCAAACTGACTCTGGGACAGTTGTGGGACGATAGATCCTAAATCCATCCAACCAGTAGGCCTAGGCTACATATATTTTTTAAAAGCGATGAGTTCGATGCAACAGATCAGAATGTTTAGCTTACAACGTTGATAAACTATTATTTCTTCACATATAAACACAACAATATGCACAAGGTAGTAGACTGTGTGAATGTTCGTTCCATGATGCAATTAGCAGGAAAACACCATTGTCAAAATCACACTGCACATGCAAGCGGTTCCATGAGACTGATGAAAATATCCGTGAAAAATGTAGAAAGAGGCATCTAAAGATGCAACAACTAGCATGGGTTGCTAATATGACTAGGATGGGTTGCTAATATGACTAGCATGGGTTGCTAATATGACTAGGATGGGTTGCTAATATGACTAGCATGGGTTGCTAATATGACTAGGATGGGTTGCTAATATGACTAGCATGGGTTGCTAATATGACTAGGATGGGTTGCTAATATGACTAGCATGGGTTGCTAATATGACTAGGATGGGTTGCTAATATGACTAGGATGGGTTGCTAATATGACTAGGATGGGCTGCTAATATGACTAGGAATGTGCCTTTTGGCTACTGGACAATGAAAGAAAGTTGAATTGAAAACCAATAGAACATGAGCAAAATAGGCTACTGGTTTCAATGGCATTTGGAAGTCTTTATAAAATAATTGCCTCCAAGTTCGGTCGTATTTTGGCTAGGCTACTTTGAAGCAAGATAAACATGCATCATAATATGTAGTAAAACGTTTAGGTTTCAAACATTTAAGTCTATGTTTTCAAAATGCATACTGCCTCCAGCTCATTGCAAAGTGGTGTGTGACGTACTGAAGCCTGCCTACGGTTATATGCACTTCAATGTGAAGTGCGCTTCAATTACTAGTTAAGATTTTTTTTGTTGTTGCTATTTTTAATCTTGGTTATCAAAACTGATTTTAACATTTTATTTAATTTAGAATTGTTGCGCAATGATTGGGCATATAAAAGCACGTTTCAATCCAGCAGTAACAGGAGCTGTTTACATCGACTGGTATTTGATCAATGAATAGGCTAAAAAGCAGAATTTTGCAATGGGATTTTTTTATTCTCCAGGTCAATTAGCCGGCGCAGATTTTATTTGATCAGCTTTTCATTCTTTTTTTGAGGGGGGGGGCAAAAGCCGGCTATTACGGGCTAACGGAAACCCAGACACAGGCGCTCCTCAAAATGTAAGATGAATACTCTGTCATGATAAAATCATATTGACCAGTAGAGGGCAGCAGAGAATCTTCATATCCACTTCAACCACCACATCATTTAGTAGTAAGGACACCCGAAGGTTTCTCTGAACACCACTAAATAGACTGAATTACCACGTTGTATTCGGATCACGTAGCTGAATGCATTGAAATAAGAAGCATATCATTATTAATATGTTGATTGAAATTATACAGTGTATGAAGCACAGCCAGTGACTGGTTAACTAGGCATGAGAGTGTGGACAAGGGGAAGGGACAGCACATAGTCTGAGTCATTAGGATTGGAGCTGTTCTGCATCAATAGCTGGCCTTTAAAGGTTGCACTCTGCCACTCTGTCACAATACACTAGCGCCCAGGACTCCTGGGGCGCTGAAGTGTCACCGGCACTCAGTGTCACACAGTCATCACCACTCCCCCTCCATCCCCATCCTTCACTGAGTTTCTGGTCGAATAAATGTCTCAGGACAAATATATATGAGGCAGCGCATCTAAAGGACCTCAGGAGTCTGTAATAGTTTAATGGATGAGAGTTCAGGAAGGCCTCCGTGCTACAGCAAACAAAGAAAGGTGGGAGTGGTGCTCGACAACAGCGACAAAAATCCAACAAAAGGGCTTAGCAAGAAAAACTTCCAAAAATACTAATTCGAGGCAGAGAGGAGTTGGAGTACTCAACAAAAAAGGCAGAGATACATTTCTTATTTGCTCAATTTAGTCCATTTTTCAGGATGAGTACAGGTGACTGACGTTTCAACGTCAAGCTGACGCCTTCCTCAGAGTGTAATAGACTTTATAATGTGCAGCGATTTAGATAATTGTTTACGGCATAATCAAATAAACTGCTTTAGAAGGACTCCTAAGCAAAGAGTTTGACCTGCAGGTATCAGGTAGGTATAATCTGAAATGTTAGGCTATCCCCCCTCCATCAATGCACTGTCTCTTTCCCCCTCTCTTGCTCCATCTTGCTCCCTCTTTCCCCCTCTCTTTCCCCCTCTCTTTCTCCCTCTCTTTCTCCCTCTTTCCCCGTCTTTCCCCCTCTCTTTCTCCCCCTCTTTCCCCCTCTCTTTCTCCCCCTCTTTCCCCCTCTCTCTTCTCCCTCTCTTTCTCTCTCTCTTTCTCTCTTTCCCCCTCTCTTTTTATTTCTCTCTCTCTGAAGCTCTTCTTCTAAGGCAGCACGTCACGTGGGCTCCCATTCTTTTTGTATAGCCGGGTGAGTCACACTGCCTTGCCTGTCTTTCTCGACGGTTGCTTGCCTCACTTCAACCTCAGGCCCCTGCCTCTCTGTAGGAACAGAGAGCTGCTTCTTGTTTTTACGGTGGTCCTGCGGTCAGGTCAACACGGCATCCTCTCTCTCAACCGAAACTCAACCAGCACCACTTTGCTATCTCCTCTTCTGCTCAACCGTCAATTTTAATGGTTGTCAGACCACAGCGATTTAGATAATTGTTTACGGCATAATCAAAAAAACTATCTTTACTGCTATCTTTACCCCTCATGAAGGGTTTGTCAGTGTAACATGACTGGGGAGTTCGTTGGGGGGATGTGTGATGCTCAGTTGTCTCTAGACTAGAGCACTTCATTTCCCCCAAGCATCTAATAAGTGAATAGATTACTGCTGAAGTGTATGTGGGGGTGAGTCAACTCCTCATAGGTCAACTGTCGTTCCACATCTCAGTCATAAGGCAGAGGGCTCTCTCTCTGTAAGGTTTATTGCAGCCCATGTAGGCCACAGAGAGCAGCATGTACTTGGAAGACAGTGATGTGAGATACACTGAGTGTACAAAACATTAAGGACACCTGCTTTTTCCATGACATAGACTGACCAGGTGAATCCAGGTGAAAGCTATGATCACTTATTGATGTCACTTGTTAAATCCACTTCCATCAGTGTATTTGAAGGGGAGGAGACAGGTTAATAATGATTTTTAAGCCTTGAGACAATTGAGACATGGATTGTGTATGTGTGCCATTCAGAGGGTGACTGGGCAAGACAAAAGATTTAAGCGCCTTTGAACGGGGTATGGTAGTTGGTGCCAGGCACACCGGTTTGAGTGTGTCAAGAACTGCAATGCTGCTGGGTTTTTCACACTCAACAGTTTCCTGTGTGTATCAAGAATGGTCCACCACCCAAAGGACATCTAGCCAACTTGACACAACTGTGGGAAGCATTGGAGTCAACATGGGCCAGCATCCCTGTGGAACGCTTTTGACACCTTGTAGAGTCCATGCCCAGACGAATTGAGTGTTCTGAGGGCAAAAAGGTGTGGGTGGGGTGTAACTTAATATTAGGAAGGTGTTCCTAATGTTTGATACACTCAGTGTATTTTACAGTCTTATTAGTATATTAGCTATATAGCCTAGTCATGTTAGTTATGTTCTTCGGTGTAACTGTCACAATGTCCTTATGCAACAGAATCCTTCTTTCTCACTAATGGTTTACCATAAACGTAGCATGTGTCTGACTTCTCAAAAGACAGAAAAACAAAGAAACCTGCTTTCTTGTTATCACACCAACAGGCTATCAAAATAGCTAAAAGCTCCAAACCACAGTCACACACACACACACACACACACACAGCAACGGCCAACATATTTGTCTCACTTGCGAGCCAGCGTGCAGTGCCTGCCTAAACGCACTTACGGAAAGTGTTTCGGAGAGTTCCAGTATTTATAGCTGTCAGGTTTACTATTTGAATCGAGATGGCGTATTATTGTTGTTTTGATCAAATTGAATTAGTCTGTGAGTTGTGGTGTTCTAAGCAGCAGTCTCATTTCAGTTTTTTATGGAGATGCGATCCCTCTGGTCATTGTACAGATGAATAACTGCTGCTGCTTGGTTCTGTTTTTGCTTTTTCAGACCAGGAATACATATCTTCAGATCAGTACTCGAGAGTGGTATGTTATGTTCAGCATCGCACCAAAAAAAGCAAGCTTCCGGAAAGCAGCAAATGGAAACTATTTTGGCGATCACAAAAGCACACGAGTAGAGATTTCCGGCTGTCGGTATCCGGGATCTGTGGGGAAGTTTGAGCCCAGTCAGATCCTCAGGGAGTCTATTTCGGGAGCTCCAATTGGATTTGTAGCTTGAAAAGTGTTGTTTGGTCAGTCCTTCAAGCCGGAGCCGGGTCCTGGGTCTGCTCTGACATCTGGTGCCCTGTCTGTGCCAGGATGCCCCTGCAGTACCTGCACAGGCCTGGCTCAGTACCTGTACACCCCCCCCCCCCCCCCCCCCCCCCCCCCCCCCCCCCCCCCCCCATCCCCCCAGTCCCTTCCTCACACACACCTCCAAGCCCCCAAGCTCTCACATAGGTGCAGTGCGGCACAAGAACATATGTCACCCCACGCTCCTCTGAGGATCACTGTAATTAATCAGACCCTGAGACACTAGCAAGGCACTTGCAAGGCACACACACACACACACACACACACACACACAGCCCCTTACTGGAAACAGAAGGCCAGGAATGCGTGTCAAGCACCAAAAAATAATTTTCTCCACTACTCTATAAAGCCTTGGCCCATATGTCTCTCCATTGCTCATTTTGTCTCTCACAGCATCACACTATTCAATCAGAAACTGTATTCAGTTTCTGGGTTAAGGCAAACCAATAGTTACAGTGGGGAGAACAAGTATTTGATACACTGCCGATTTTGTAGGTTTTCCTACTTACAAAGCATGTAGAGGTCTGTAATTTGTATCATAGGTACACTTCAACTGTGAGAGACAGAATCTAAAACAAAAATCCAGAAAATCACATTGTATGATTTTTAAGTAATTAATTTGCATTTTATTGCATGACATAAGTATTTGATACATCAGAAAAGCAGAACTTAATATTTGGTACAGAAACCTTTGTTTGCAATTACAGAGATCATACGTTTCCTGTAGGTCTTGACCAGGTTTGCACACACTGCAGCAGGGATTTTGGCCCACTCCTCCATACAGACCTTCTCCAGATCCTTCAGGTTTCGGGGCTGTCGCTGGGCAATACGGACTTTCAGCTCCCTCCAAAGATTTTCTATTGGGTTCAGGTCTGGAGACTGGCTAGGCCACTACAAGACCTTGAGATGCTTCTTACGGAGCCACTCCTTAGTTGCCCTGGCTGTGTGTTTCGGGTCGTTGTCATGCTGGAAGACCCAGCCACGACCCATCTTCAATGCTCTTACTGAGGGAAGGAGGTTGTTGGCCAAGATCTCGCGATACATGGCCCCATCCACCCTCCCCTCAATACGGTGCAGTCGTCCTGTCCCCTTTGCAGAAAAGCATCCCCAAAGAATGATGTTTCCACCTCCATGCTTCACGGTTGGGATGGTGTTCTTGGGGTTGTACTCATCCTTCTTTTCCTCCAAACGCGGCGAGTGGAGTTTAGACCAAAAAGCTCTATTTTTGTCTCATCAGACCACATGACCTTCTCCCATTACTCCTCTGGATCATCCAGATGGTCTTTGGCAAACTTCAGATGGGCCTGGACATGTATGGCACTGCAGGATTTGAGTCCCTGGTGGCGTAGTGTGTTACTGATGGTAGGCTTTGTTACTTTGGTCCCAGCTCTCTGCAGGTCATTCACTAGGTCCCCCTGTGTGGTTCTGGGATTTTTGCTCACCGTTCTTGTGATCATTTTGACACCACGGGATGAGATCTTGCGTGGAGCCCCAGATCGAGGGAGATTATCAGTGGTCTTGTATGTCTTCCATTTCCTAATAATTGCTCCCACAGTTGATTTCTTCAAACCAAGCTGCTTACCTATTGCAGATTCAGTCTTCCCAGCCTGGTGCAGGTCTACAATTTTGTTTCTGGTGTCCTTTGACAGCTCTTTGGTCTTGGCCATAGTGGAGTTTGGAGTGTGACTGTTTGAGGTTGTGGACAGGTGTCTTTTATACTGATAACACGTTCAAACAGGTGCCATTAATACAGGTAACGAGTGGAGGACAGAGGAGCCTCTTAAAGAAGACGTTACAGGTCTGTGAGAGCCAGAAATCTTGCTTGTTTGTAGGTGACCAAATACTTATTTTCCACCATAATTTGCAAATAAATTCATTAAAAATCCTACAATATGATTTTCTGGATTTTTTTTTCTCAATTTGTCTGTCATAGTTGACGTGTACCTATGATGAAAATTACAGGCCTCTCTCATCTTTTTAAGTGGGAGAACTTGCACAATTGGTGGCTGACTAAATACTTTTTTCCCCCACTGTATGAGCTTTCTTGAACAGGGGGACCTTGCAGACGCTGCAGGATTTCAGTCCTTCACGGCGTAGTGTGTTACCAATTGTTTTCTTGGTGACTATGGTCCCAGCTGCCTTGAGATCATTGACAAGATCCTCCCGTGTAGTTCAGGGCTGATTCCCCACCGTTCTCATGAAAATTGCAACTCCACGAGGTGAGATCTTGCGTGAAGCCCCAGGCCGAGGGAGATTGACAGTTATTTTGTGTTTCTTCCATTTGCGAATAATTGCACCAACTGTTGTCACCTTCTCACCAAGCTGCTTGGTGATGGTGTTGTAGCCCATTCCAGCCTTGTGTAGGTCTACAATCTTGTCCCTGACATCCTTGGAGAGCTCTTTGGTCTTGGCCATGGTGGAGAGTTTGGAATCTGATTGATTGATTGCTTCTGTGGACAGGTGTCTTTTATACAGGTAACAAGCTGAGATTAGGAGCACTCCCTTTAAGAGTGTGCTCCTAATCTCAGCTCGTTACCTGTATAAAAGACACCTGGGAGCCAGAAATCTTTCTGATTGAGAGGGGGTCAAATACTTATTTCCCTCATTTAAAATGCAAATCAATTTATAACATTTTGGACATGCGTTTTTCTGGATTTTTTTGTTGTTATTCTGTCTCTCACTGTTCAAATAAACCTACCATTAAAATTAGACTGATCATTTCTTTGGCAGTGGGCAAACGTACAAAATCAGCAGGGGATCAAATACTTTTTTCCCTCACTGTATGTCATGCAATAAAATGCAAATTAATTACTTAAAAATCATACAATGTGATTTTCTGGATTTTTGTTTTAGATTCCGTCTCTCACAGTTGAAGTGTACCTATGATAAAAAATTACAGACCTCTACATGCTTTGTAAGTAGGAAAACCTGCAAAATCGGCAGTGTATCAAATACTTGTTCTCCCCACTGTATCTTGCACTGAGAGCATGTTTCAAAACATTTCTGCATTTATTTCTTATTATTTCACATAGGAAACATTGTTTTTACTAATTCAATGAATTGATACTGAACAAAAATATAACCGCAACAATTTCAAAGATTTTATTGAGTTACAGTTCGTATAAGGAAATCAGTCAATTGAAATAAATGTATTAGGTCCACCCACTGGGGAGCCAGGCCCAGGCCCAGCCAATCAGAATTAGTTTTCCCACAAAAGGGCTTTATTACAGACAGAAATACTCCTCATCACCCCCCCCTCAGATAATCTTGCAGGTGAAGAAGCCGGATGTGGAGGTCCTGGGCTGGCGTGGTTACACCTGGTCTGCGGTTGTGAGACCGGTTGGACGTACTGCCAAATTCTCTAAAATGACGTTGGAGGCAGCTTATGGTCCACTCTGGTGGACATTCCTGAAGTCAGCATGCCAATTGCATGCCTTCAAAACTTGAGACATCTGTGGCATTGTGTCATGTGACAAAACTGCACATTTTAAAGTGGCCTTTTATTGTCCCCAGCACAAGTTGCACCTGTGTAATGATCATGCTGTTTAATCTGCTTCTTGATATGCCACACCTGTCAGGTGGATGGATTATCTTGGCAATGGAGAAATGCTCACTAACAGGGATGTTAACAAATATGTGCACAAACTTTGAGAGAAATAAGCTTTTTGTGCTTATTGAAAATATCTTCTTTTTTTTCAGCTCATGAAACATGGGACCAACACATGTTGCGTTTATATTTTTGTTCAGTGTAGATTACAACATCCCAGTACAAGAACAATGTTTCTTAAACTTCCAGATAGGGGTTATTGCTTGTCCAGAGGCCTCAGTCTCCATCACTAAGCTGTCCCTGGCTACTCTCTCTTTAGCAGGAAGGTATTTAACTCTGATGCTTTCGTCTATGTTTTCTGCTTTCTCTGAATCTGCCGCTGTCACAATCCTCCCCTCCCTCATTGATCCAGCGAACAATTGGCCTCTCAGAGACATGCCCGGATCCAGGCATTCAAGCGATTCTCTGAGCGCTTCAAAACTTTTAACTAATGACACTTGAAATGAATACGGGCAAGGCACTTTGGGCTAATTAGGAAGCCTCTTCTCCCAAGTACTGAAACATTAAGATGACATAATGTTCATTCGGGATTACTTTAATTGGGACAATTATTGTAATTTCGTCGCAATTACGTGTTGAGATAAAAGCGCTTTCTAAAGCGAATGCGTGTGATTCCCTTTATGTAAAATCCTAATAAGCCTCTAAATACTTGGCCACAAAAGAAGAGTAGCTTTTTTTCCCTGGAACACTTTTGAACTTCGATGCCCTTGAATTAAGTATTTTTGCTTTTCTCCCTCCGTACGCGATTGTTAATACTATATTGTAAATACTATATTTCCATCACATACACAACTTGTCTGTAAAATCTTGATTGCACTGCTAACAGTAGGAAAACACTTTTCTCCCAGTCGTCTTTTCCCTCAGAGGGATCCTTTTGTCCCTGAGCTAAATCCTTCAGGAGGCATTTTGGTGGAAAGAGTACTCTTGTAATTCAATAGCGCTGCCGTTATTTGCCAAGAGGCCCTAAAGCGCTCTAAATTATAAAGCTGCTGAAAAGCCATCTATTTCCCAATAGAATGTGGTCTATCTCTGATAGGGAGCTCTTTATTGAGTCTGTGACAAACCGTATGACCTCCAGATAGGGGAGATGGAGCAGAGATGGTGAAGGGGGCCCTTTATACAGGGCTATTATGAGGTCTACAGGACAACAATTGTGGCTCGTGTGAATACCCCTCAATGTCAGGTGTCCTCATAAACCATGATTGTTGGCACATTGACATAGCACTCTGACTATAGTATCCAGCGACTACTGGGACTGCTGGGTGTATTTCATAATGTATAAGTGATTCCCAGAGTATTGGTACAAGTGCTGAACAAAAAAGTGTACGAGCAGTGACCACTTTTATACCCTGGTCATTGCTGTGTCCAGTGTCCACCTGGTAGTAAAGCATGTTTTCTCTCAAGTGGGGATGAGAGTGTTGGTCAGTCCAGGTGGTGATGTTTCACTGAGGCATACTCTGCCTTCGCCTCTCATATGGACATGTTTTTCCAGTGGGAACAGCCCTGGACTGGTCCAGCACTACCCATCTGTTCTGTGTGTGAAGATGTGTGAAGCACCAGGGCCCGAGGGTGGGTGTGTTAGTTACATACATCCCTCAGGTGTTGGACCGTTGTGACTAAGGGATGAATCAGCAGGAGAGGCGAGCTCCACCAGGCTCCCACAGAGCAAACAAAATGTCCACAGAGTCTGTGGCACAAAATGTGAATAAAATTCATAAAAGCAATTTAGTACAGAGCTGTGGTCGATGTCCACAGGCCCAACCATTGTGTTGAGGTGTGTCCCTGATATGAGTGTTTGTTTGTGGAGATGTCCAGATGAAGCGGCACTGGGATGCCACATTTCCCTACCACTACATACTCTGGTGGTTAAAGATATTCTCCGGTACTTTTGTATACTTTTTAGCCAGTAGTTCTAAAAGTAGTGCTCATGAGCCAAAAGTGGTCCCCCGAAAATTGTCACACATATGCAGATATGTGCACCACGTCATTGCTCTCTCTCTCTCGCTCTGCTGTGTGTGCATCTTGCTAGCTGTCACTCAAATGGCGATGGGGTGAAGCTCATTGGCTAGAACTCGAATTGCTAGTGGGCTGGCCCACGTGGGGAAAAATGGAGGGAAAATGACGCAGCACAGCTTCCAGAAAAACAGTCGCTTTCAAACTAGGGATTTCGTGGCTAATGGAGGTAAAACAGTAATTCTGCTCATAGAGTAGATTATGCATGTATGAACTTACACATTGACACATCCAGCCCAAAGCAGAAGGTTTAAAACATACTTAGAAGTCGCCAAAGTTCCAGAGCATGTCTTTAATAGCCATGTGATGGAAAAGGGGTCTGTTATGTAGCATTCCTTGTTAGCAAATCCACTTTGAGCCCTTTCATTATTTCATGAGTTGAACTTAATTAAACACTTTGAAACAAGAGATCCAGACTGTTGGATGGTCTGGGGCTGTTTTTCATGGTTCGGGCTAGGCCCCTTATTTGGAAGGGAAATCTTAACGCTACAGTGTACATTCTAGTGCTTCCAACTGTGCTTCCAACTTTGTGGCAACAGTTTTGTGAAGGCCCTTTTCTGTTTCAGCATGACAATGCCCCCGTGCACGAAGCAAGGTCCATACAGAAATGGTTTGTCGAGTTCGGTGTGGAAGACAATTTGGCCTAGCGTCGCCCAGGTTAGGGGAGGGAATGGCCAGCAGGGATGTAGCTCAGTTGGTAGAGCATGGCGTTTGCAACGCCAGGGTTGTGGGTTCGATTCCCACGGGGGGCCAGTATGAAAAATACAAAAAATAATGTATGCACTCACTAACTGTAAGTCGCTCTGGATAAGATTATTATTATATTATTATAAGAGCGTCTGCTAAATGACTAAAATGTAAATGAACTTGACTGGCCTGCACAGAGCCCTGACCTCAACCCCATCGGATACCTTTGGGATGAATTGGAACGCTGACAGTGAGCCAAGCCTAACCGCCCAACATCAGTGCCCGACCTCACTAATGCTCTTGTGGCTGAATGAAAGCATATCCCTGCAGCAATGTTCCAACATCTAGTGGAAAGCCTTCCCAGAAGAGTGGAGGCTGTTATAGCAGCAAAGGGGGGACCAACTTCATATTAATGCCCATGATTTTGGAATGAGACGTTCGACGAGCTGGTGTCCACATACTTTTTGGTCATGTAGTATATGTCAATATCTTTGAAAATACCATATAAGTATCATTAGCTTCTAAAACAATACAATCTGTTTTCTTTTATCATATTTTGGACCAGTGTGAGGCTCTCTCAACTATCCCAACTATTCCTGCAGTGAGGAGGATTCACCATCTTCATCAAATGTTTTCAAATTTATCTGCAGATAATTGGCCAAAAGCCTACCATTATGCAAATGAGGGAGCCAAATAAACAGCTCTCTCACCGATGCAATTCAGTAGGCTACTGACGGGTCACTCACTTTAACGTCACTGTCTGGCAAGTCCTGATGGACTTCATATCAAAAATACAAACGAGATCTTCAGATTAAATGTCCCGATGAGATACCATGGACATATAACTACATTGTATGATTTAAGAATGGGAAGGATATATAAGTTCGACTTTATTCAGTCAGTTCGACAACTTTTATAAACTAGTCAAGCTAGGGTTAGGGTTGGGGGGGTGAAGTACACTGCTCAAAAAAATAAAGGGAACACTAAAATAACACATCCTAGATCTGAATGAATGAAATAATCTTATTAAATTCTTTTTTCTTTACATAGTTTAATGTGCTGACAACAAAATCACACAAAAATTATCAATGGAAATCAAATTTATCAACCCATGGAGGTCTGGATTTGGAGTCACCCTCAAAATTAAAGTGGAAAACCACACTACAGGCTGATCCAACTTTGATGTAATGTCCTTAAAACAAGTCAAAATGAGGCTCAGTAGTGTGTGTGGCCTCCACGTGCCTGTATGACCTCCCTACAACGCCTGGGCATGCTCCTGATGAGGTGGCGGATGGTCTCCTGAGGGATCTCCTCCCAGACCTGGACTAAAGCATCCACCAACTCCTGGACAGTCTGTGGTGCAACGTGGCGTTGGTGGATGGAGCGAGACATGATGTCCCAGATGTGCTCAATTGGATTCAGGTCTGGGGAACGGGCGGGCCAGTCCATAGCATCAATGCCTTCCTCTTGCAGGAACTGCTGACACACTCCAGCCACATGACGTCTAGCATTGTCTTGCATTAGGAGGAACCCAGGGCCAACCGCACCAGCATATATTCTCACAAGGGGTCTGAGGAGCTCATCTCGGTACCTAATGGCAGTCAGGCTACCTCTGGCGAGCACATGGAGGGCTGTGCGGCCCCCCAAAGAAATGCCACCCCACACCATGACTGACCCACCGCCAAACCAGTCATGCTGGAGGATGTTGCAGGCAGCAGAACGTTCTCCACGGCGTCTCCAGACTCTGTCACGTGCTCAGTGTGAACCTGCTTTTATCTGTGAAGAGCACTGGGCGCCAGTGGCGAATTTGCCAATCTTGGTGTTCTCTGGCAAATGCCAAACGTCCTGCACTGTGTTGGGCTGTAAGCACAACCCCCACCTGTGGACGTCGGGCCCTCATACCACCCTCATGGAGTCTGTTTCTGACCGTTTGAGCAGACACATGCACATTTGTGGCCTGCTGGAGGTCATTTTGCAGGGCTCTGGCAGTGCTCCTCCTGCTCCTCCTTGCACAAAGGCGGAGGTAGCAGTCCTGCTGCTGGGTTGTTGCCCTCCTACGGCCTCCTCCACGTCTCCTGATGTACTGGCCTGTCTCCTGGTAGCGCCTCCATGCTCTGGACACTACGCTGACAGACACAGCAAACCTTCTTGCCACAGCTCGCATTGATGTGCCATCCTGGATGAGCTGCACTACCTGAGCCACTTGTGTGGGTTGTAGACTCCGTCTCATGCTACCACTAGAGTGAAAGCACTGCCAGCATTCAAAAGTGACCAAAACATCAGCCAGGAAGCATAGGAACTGAGAAGTGGTCTGTGGTCACCACCTGCAAAACCAGTCCTTTATTGGGGGTGTCTTGCTAATTGCCTATAATTTCCACCTGTTGTCTATTCCATTTGCACAACAGCATGTGAAATGTATTGTCAATCAGTGTTGCTTCCTAAGTGGACAGTTTGATTTCACAGAAGTGTGTTTGACTTGGAGTTACATTGTGTTGTTTAAGTGTTCCCTTTATTTTTTTGAGCAGTGTATATTAAGGTAAAATATATTGAACAAATATTTGATGAAACATTGAATTTGGCCTTACTGCTATTATGCCCATGGAAATGCATTGAATAACAGCTTCATATGGATAAACAGATAAACAATATAAGGAAACAAGCTGCCCAGGTATATTTTGTGCTTAGTTTTACCTGTGACTACACTGTTATCACTTTTGCTTTGTGTGCTAGTGTGTGGTGGCCCATGAGCATTTGTGTGGGTGAGTGAGCATGTCTATGCTGGCGTCTGTCTCTCTGGATGTGCCTGTGGACATATCAGTGATCTCCCTCCCTCTCTATTGTGCCGTGAGTGGGAGAAGGTGGCAGGGGTATTATAAGTAGCAGCGCTGGGCAGCGAGCGTCAGGGTGACTTGCTTGTCACCCAGTCACAGGGCCTGGGGCACACTCAACCCCCTCTAACTTTGATGTGCCACCCAGGCCCACAAAGTTAAAATGGGGTCAAGCCAGCATAGAGGAAAGGATGGTCACTAGAGATAAAGGAAGTGTGTGGAGAGCAAAGCGTGATCGTGAAAATGCCAACTCTTCTCAGAACTCTTTTCTGGAAAGCCCTTGATCCGACTTTTACATTTACATTTACATTTTAGTCATTTAGCAGACGCTCTTATCCAGAGCGACTTACAGTTAGTGAATACATATATTTTTTTTTATACTGGCACCCCGTGGGAATTGAACCCACAACCCTGGCGTTGCAAACGCCATGCTCTATCAACTGAGCTACATCCCTGCCGGCCATTCCCTCCCCTACCCTGGATGACGCTGGGCCAATTGTGCGCCGCCCATGAGTCTCCCGGTCGCGGCCGGCTGCGACAGAGCCTGGATTCGAACCAGGATCTCTAGTGGCACAGTTAGCACTGCGATGCAGTGCCTTAGACCACTGCGCCACTCATGATTAGATTTTAATCTGAGCAATGAAAAAGAATGGGATTTCTTTTACCATCACCATTTAAAAGCAGCTTCTTATTCTGGGCATAGTTATGCAGCCATTGTATAGCTTAAGGATTTATCAGATTTACCTGGTACTGAGTTCTTGGATGACGAGTTATACGTTTCTTAAGAAATCGTTCTTGGGAATCCTGCTCTTAGCTGGCCCCTCCTCTTTCTCCCTTTCCCAGACAGGAAGGCGAATAGAGGCGAGGTGCAGAAATGAATCACTGGTCATCCCCAAATAGAACTCTCTCTCTCTCTCTCTCTCTCCCTTTATGATTCTGTCTTTCTCTTCACCAGGTCATCCTGTGTCTGAGGTGTCTCCTCCTCAATTAAGTTAAGGAAAGGATTACCTGTCGGGGCTGTTTTCATTATTTTTCCAGAAAATAACATCCTTTATTTACCTAGAAGGTTTACATGAATCACTGTTCAACGGGTGGTTTAGGACATGGGCTCGGTCCGGATGTTTGACATCTCATATACCGTCTCAACCCTAACACGCATCAAACACCCACATTGACTGACTTCTCAGCTCAATTCATGTCAGGAATGCCTCATTCTATTACCATTTAGCCACACTCGGCGGTGGACTGGAGTTCAAAACGCTCCCTTTCACATAAATCATCAAACTGGGCCCGATTTTCTAATATCCCGTACAGGGTTTGTCAGGAATTGAGTTTAGCTCCCTTGAATGAAGGGTTCAGCTAAGGTTTTTGGGGTTTGGAAGGGGAGATTTTGTGTACAGATGAGTTTAATCATTTCGGAGAAACTCTGAATTCCAACCCCATTTCAGAGAGGCCATTTCAAGGCTGCAGCATTTTTATCGGAGTGGTATGTTTCCTATTACACTGCATTTCTCTGCGGTCCATTTCAGATGCAAAGGTCCGGCTTAGTACATAAGAATGGCAATTACAGGCTTAAACTTTGCCATGGATGTATACGAAAAGCAAAGTCGCTTTTAATGTCCGCTGGCATAGCGGAGAGAAGACGAGCCCCAAGCAAATTCTGAGAATAACTCTGAGAATTCGGCCAAAGAAACAATGGTTTAAGTAGACGAAAACATGGTGTCATCTAAAGTGAAAACATATTTGCTCTCTGCCTTTGGGTAGCCAGGGTTTGGTAAGCTCCTCTCGGACAATAATACTCCACTCTGGAGTGTTGACGTTACGAGGCCACGCGCCAGCCTGTCCGTCCATTGGTTAGAGGCCTGTCCATCTTTTCTAAATTGCCCGCCTGCCCGTCGGCATGAGGAAAGCGCCAAGGCCCGGGCTCGCCATTGTGACTGACCACTGTTGTTCTTTTCACAGCCAAACATTCTTTCTCTTTATGGCCCTCCGAAAAAAAAAATGTGTGTTGGCATTTCACTTCTCTCCGGGCCCCTTAATGGCAATGCTTTGAGCATCATTGTGGGGCGTCCGCACGTGGTCCACACACAGAGGGTGGCTGTAAGCAAAGTCAAGTGGCACATTCAGCGCCTGCAGAGGGAGGAGAGAGTGGAGGAATAGAGGGAGAATTTTTCTCTTTCCCGTCAGCTGCAGTATGTGGGAGTGTTGGAGGAGAAGAAGGGTCTTGTCGAGACAGCTTTGGGACCGATTAGCATTTGGAGAAGCCCAGAAACCTCCCAAGCGCTAGGCGCTGCAACACAGACAGTGTATAAGAGCCTGTGCTTGTAACGCAAAATCCCATCAATGGGGCTATTGTGAGAAACCGGCTGCAGGATTCCTGACCTGCTTTATTTCTCTGTCTACAGCCTTTTTAAAAGTAACATGTCGGCTTGTGGACCCGACAAAGTGCAATCCTCCAGCTTGTCAGTCTCATGAAAGATGGCCTGATAGGAGTGGCTTGTTTTGATTGCCTATCTCCCTCCACCAGTGTCAAATGTAATTAACATCAATGACTTGATGTCAAGGCCAACCACTCTTCCTCAATTGACTCAAAATCTGTCTCTTGAAGTGTCCCTTTGGCACGTTTGGTAGCAATTAAAAGGGCACTCTTCGTGCCACCGTTGGATGGTTAACATGTTGGATGGTTAACATATTGGATGGTGTTACACCAGATAATAAACCCATGCCATCATGTGAACCTGTCTGATTTCCCTGACCTGTGCTATTATCAGAACATGGCCACTGGTATGAAAAGGGATGACGTTTGGATGACTCAGTCCCTTGTGGCAGACAGTTCCGACTAGACAGCCTGGTGTGAATGAATGCTAGGAATGGGGTCTCTGTGCCACAGTGATGGATGCATTTACTTAGTCCATGCAGGCCTTTCTAGTTGTCTTTGGAAGATGCTGGTAACATCATGTGTGCTGGGAGCCTCCATGTACCAGAGTCAATAGAATACTCCTCTAAGTACTCACATTTGTAGCTCTGACCATCTCAGTAGAAGTATGCTTGACTCTCCTCTAGGGCTGTGATGATACCAGTATGTCAATATTTTTCACATGGCAAAAATGAAAACAGGAAGCAGACCTAGCGGGCAGTAGAGGAGTGTGTACTCTGTGTAGACACTGTAGATAGATGATGTCCCCTCAGTGGTGTGTGTGTGTGTGTGTGTGTGTGTCACTGGCTCCTGTTGGTCTGCGTCTTTGAGCACACAAATTAACAGAGAGCCTAGCTGGACTGCTGGAACAGCACAAGGCTCTCAGCGTGGGGGAAATGGAGTTGAACACATTCCCTCACTACCATGCTTCTATCTATGGAATTCCCCATTGTCACTGAGCATCCCAGTTGTGTGTGGTAGTGGACACCAATGTTCCCTAAAATCTTTGGGGGGGGGGGCACTGAGCAGATTTTAGGTATTGTGAGCGGAAAGTTGAACAATGTGAGAATTTCGTGCAACTTCCGGTGTGCGTTTACAGTGAACACTGAGGCTGTACCCTACAGTTTTAGACAGTAGCCAATAGGCTATTGTGGCTATTTGAGGCCTACCAACAAAACCAATGGACAAAATCCCATAACATTTTCACATGGAAATAGCTTTTGATTTCTATAATATAGTCTACAGTAGCCTATATGTGGTGTTCAATGCAGGCCTACATTGCATGATACTTTTAAAAACGTTTTAACATTATGAAGGGCTTGACATTAATTTAATGATTTTTTTTACTTGGTCTGTAACACCATTGGCCAAATAGGTGACTGTAAATTGTATTGTGTTGTAAGATGCAAGAAACCACTTTCACAAAATAAAATTAATTATTATTACCATACAGAGAATTAGACAGTGTAGGCTACCCCTCTGCCTATTGGCTTATTTGCATATTCAAGCCTGTATCAAAATACAACACTGGCCTTTTTAATTAAGACATAATATTTTTACTTGACTGGCTTTTCAAAGACAGCTTGAAATGTAGCCTACACGTTTTGTGCTCTTGTAGGAAGCAGTAACTCCCCATTGCTGACCTATGCTTATCTATAACTGGGCTAATAACTCGCTAACTAGCAAAGAATATCAACAAATGTGCACACGCAGGGCTCTGCGCTCTGGTCTGAACTGATCTGAAAAGCGCATTCACTTGTGGGCGATTTGAAAGACCACTATTGGGCTACCCCCGTCAATAGAACTCTACTCCATTGCACTCTGGCTCTGCCTACAACAAAATCACAGACTTACAAAGTTAGATGTGTTTTGGTTTGTTGCATTGAAAAGGGGCTGCTATATTATTGATTAGATCACAGAAAAAAAGTTGATCTATATTGTGCATACTAATGGAGCGAACTCAATCACTGTTGTCTCTGCGCAGCATAGCATTTCTTCTGCGCAGCAGTCCTGGAGGAGGTGCATGGCTTCTCACGTGCGCAGCTTAGAGGGAACTTTGGTGGACAGTGTGTTTGAGACTGTGTGTGTTTGGTGGTGGAGAGTGTGTTTTGTGTGTTTGAGTCTGTGTGTTTGGTGGTGGACAGTGTGTTTTGTGTGTTTGAGACTGTGTGTGTTTGGTGGTGGAGAGTGTGTTTTGTGTGTTTGAGTCTGTGTGTTTGGTGGTGGAGAGTGTGTTTTGTGTGTTTGAGTCTGTGTGTTTGGTGGTGGACAGTGTGTTTTGTGTGTTTGAGACTGTGTGTGTTTGGTGGTGGAGAGTGTGTTTTGTGTGTTTGAGACTGTGTGTGTTTGGTGGTGGAGAGTGTGTTTTGTGTGTTTGAGTCTGTGTGTTTGGTGGTGGAGAGTGTGTTTTGTGTGTTTGAGTCTGTGTGTTTGGTGGTGGACAGTGTGTTTTGTGTGTTTGAGTCTGTGTGTTTGGTGGTGGAGAGTGTGTTTTGTGTGTTTGAGTCTGTGTGTTTGGTGGTGGACAGTGTGTTTTGTGTGTTTGAGACTGTGTGTGTTTGGTGGTGGACAGTGTGTTTTGTGTGTTTGAGACTGTGTGTGTTTGGTGGTGGACAGTGTGTTTTGTGTGTTTGAGACTGTGTGTGTTTGGTGGTGGAGAGTGTGTTTTGTGTGTTTGAGACTGTGTGTGTTTGGTGGTGGACAGTGTGTTTTGTGTGTTTGAGTCTGTGTGTTTGGTGGTGGACAGTGTGTTTTGTGTGTTTGAGACTGTGTGTGTTTGGTAGTGGACAGTGTGTTTTGTGTGTTTGAGACTGTGTGTGTTTGGTAGTGGACCGTGTGTTTTGTGTGTTTGAGACTGTGTGTGTTTGGTAGTGGACCGTGTGTTTTGTTAGTGAGATAAGTGTATCAAGATGGCGCCGATAGACATGGCGGCTCTGTTTCTGGCTCCTAAGCAACTTAGCAGTATTTTATATATTTATTTTTGTTATTCCTCACATTATTAGGCCAGAACGTTTTTTGCATTATTACATACAGCCGGAAATAACTTTTGTATATCAGAACGGTGGTAACTCACCAGCATTTCAACCAGAAATACGACTTTCCTGAATTGGATCCTTTGTTCATACCCCCCAAGGCGATTTAATTTATCCCAGAGGCTGCTCCAAGATGCCGCCGGTGGAGAAGAGGTATTCGGAGTGGACTTTTAGTCCGACTCAGGAGGAGTGCACATCATCCACCACTTCCGAGTATATTACTCGCTAATGTTGAGTCCCTGGACAATAAAGTAGACAAGTGCAGGGCGAGTATCTCCTTCCAGAGAGACATCAGAGACTGTAACATACTCTGTTTCACAGAATCATGGCTCTCTCCGGATATACTGTCCCCGTCCATACAGCCTGCTGGGTTCTCAGTGCATCGCGCAGATAGGAATAAAGAACTCTCTGGGAGGAAAAAGGTGAAGGTGTATGTTTCATGATTAGCTACTCGTGGTGTGATTGTGGTAATGTACAGGAACTCAAGTCCTTTTGTTCACCCGACCTAGTATACCTCACAATCAAATGCCGACCGCATTACCTCCCGAGAGAATTATCTTAGGTCACCGTCACAGCCGTGTATATTCCCCCTCAAGCCGATACCACAACGGCTCTCAATGTAAATGTAAGGAACTGCACTGGACTTTGTGCAAACTGGAAACCGCATATCCTGAGGCCGGGGGACTTTAATAAAGCAAATCTGAGTAAAACGCTACCAAAGTTTTATCAACACATTGCCTGCAGTACTCGCGCTTCAAAAACTCTTGACCATTGTTTTTTTTTTTTTTTTTTTTGGGGGGGGGGGTGGTGGATCAGCTTAATATTGCAGATAGATTGTATCTTCTATCAATGTAATTGTCTGCATCACTTCCAATCCCCCATGTTTTTTATATATATACTCCCCTTTATTACTTTTCAACCCCGCCATCCTTACCCTACTTGGAGTAAATTAGTGAACAACAATGCCCAGGCCTCTACTTCCGGTCTATACTTACTATCTACACCTTATGGACACTGTTAATTTTACAATAATTCTATTATATATATATATATATATTTATAATTTTTTTGCTCCTGAACTACTTCTACTCTCAACCTCTCCGATCATTTTCATGATGTCCATCCGGTTTGCTTCTATATGCCATATCTTTCTAACTGTGCTCTTTCCCAAAAGCTCCCAACATACAACCTATATACAGTGGGGGAAAAAAAGTATTTAGTCAGCCACCAATTGTGCAAGTTCTCCCACTTAAAAAGATGAGAGAGGCCTGTAATTTTCATCATAGGTACACGTCAACTATGACAGACAAAATGAGATTTTTTTTCTCCAGAAAATCACATTGTAGGATTTTTAATGAATTTATTTGCAAATTATGGTGGAAAATAAGTATTTGGTCAATAACAAAAGTTTCTCAATACTTTGTTATATACCCTTTGTTGGCAATGACACAGGTCAAACGTTTTCTGTAAGTCTTCACAAGGTTTTCACACAC